ACCTGTGCTATATTAGAAGAAAAGAACCGTATTATATATAATAAGCTATAGAAGCTGCTTAGTAAAAGCTTTATTAAAAACAGCAACTCTTCTATATACGCACTAGTGCTTCTAGTTAAAAAACCGGACAGAATATACCGCTTCTATATTAATTACTAAGGCCTTAACGCTATTATAGTTAAGAATTAGTACCTAATTCCTATTATCTAGGAAATGCTTAATCGCCTTGGTAAGGCTAAGTAGTATACTAAGCTAGATATTATTTCCGCCTTTAACCGCGTATATATTAAACCAGGAGATAAATAGAAAACAGCCTTTATTACGCGCTATAGTATATTTTAATTAAAAGTCTTAGGATTTAGTATATATAATAGTCCCGGTATATTTCAGACGTTTATTAATAATATTCTACGCAAATACCTTAATAACTTCTGTTCCGCATATATAGATAATATACTGGTATTTACTAATAGAATAGAAGAAGAATATATTACCTATATCTAAAAGGTACTTAATTAGCTTTATAAAGCCGGCTTATATTTTAATATTAATAAATGCAAATTCCTAGTTAAGCGTATTAAATACTTAGGCCTTATTATTATAACCGACGGCGTTAAAATAGATCTAGAAAAAGTTAAAGCTATTACTAAATAGGCCTTTCCTATATACCTTAAAAATATCTAAGCCTTTTTAGGTTTAGCTAATTTCTATAAGCGTTTTATATAAGGTTTCTTATAGCTATATTAACCGCTTACTAATCTATCTAGGAAAAAACCGGACGGCCGCTTTTATTTTAAGTAGATAATAAATTGCTAGAAAGCTTTTAATAACCTTAAAACCGCATTTACTACTGCGCCTTATTTTAAACACTTTAATCTAAACCTAAAATTATATATTAAAACGGACGCTTTAGATTATATAGCTGCGGAAGTCTTCTTCTAGCTATATAATAATAGAATATAGCACCCTATTACCTACTACTTATATAAAATAACACCGGCGGAATATAATTATAAAATCTATAATAAGGAGTTGCTTACTATTATCTTTACTTTTAAGGAATAGGAGCTATAGTACCAGGGTAATAAATATTAGAACCTTATCTAAGTGCTAATAGATTATAGAAATCTGCTATACTTTATAACTACTTAATAACTTAACTAGTAATAAATACGCTAGCTATAAGTCCTTTCTAAAATTAACTATATCTTTATATATCGGCCTGGCCGCCTTAGAATAAAACCTAATAGCTTTACACGCTATAGCTAGAACCTTTCGCAATCTAATAATAATAAGCGCTTCTTATTCTAATAATAAACTGTAATTAAAATAAAAAACCTTAAGGCTGCTATTTTTAAAAATCTATACTTTTAGACTATAGGTGTTATAAAGGCTATCTATAATAAGCCGCTTTATAAGCTAATTTAGGAAGCCTATAATATAGATAAGTTAGCTTTTAAAAACGGCGGTAATAATCTAGATAACCCTTTAGATAACTACCTTATCTATTATATTATAGCTTTAAAGCTATAGGGTAACTATAAGCTACTATATAATATTCTAAAAAATAAGCGCGTTTAACTTTCTATAAGTAAATTAAAGGTTATTAATAGCAGACTATAGGTCTATTATAAAGACTTTAGATAGTTATTTATTTCTTAGTTAGCAGCTCTTTAGCTTTAGATTATATAGCTAGGCTATAATTATACCAGCGCAGGCTATAGAGGCTACGCGGACTGCCTTTAGTATATATAACCTAGCTACTACTAGCCCCGGTTTACTAAATTAATTATAATATATATTAACGCCTGCTAGTATTACTATAATATTAAGCCTTTTAACTTCGCTAAATAAGGCTTCCTGCATCCCTTGCCCGTCCTACTTTATTACTAGCGCGATGTTGCTATAGATTATATTATTAACCTTTCTATCTATAAGCGTTATAGCCGTAAATATTATTATATACTTATTATAATTAACTAATTTTTAAAGGAATAACTGTGACAGTGGAACTGCATTAGGAAACCGATGCTTCCTTTGCGGGCAACGCGCCCTCGCTTGCTGACTTGCCGCTTTACCCTGGCCCGTGCTCTAACCTCATCCCATAAAAGCGTCGTTCCCTCGCCGTTTTTACCTTCCCTCCTCCATCTTCTCTTTCCCCCAGCACCGCGCCTCCTTCTAATTCGCTTTAATTGGCCCCCTCGCCCCGCCCATAAGGCATTTTCATGCACCCATTCACGCCCGCCCACATGCAAGCCCTGCCCACTTCCCTTAATTTCTATGTCTTAGACTGATGGTAGCGCAGCGCCTTTCGGGCACCCTAATAGCGAATTCCTCTCTCACATTCTCTTCGTCATGATGGATAGAACGTCCGTTTCCTGCTCTCGCCACTAGAATCGCAATGGCCGTTCGTCCTTTCTGCCGTTTAATCCAGGAGACTCCTATTCAGGCGTACAGGCATTCACGATATTCGAAGGCGTTTCCCCCGTACTCAGGCCATTTCTTCACCTCCGGGAGCCAGTATCCGCAGCTGCCGATCCACAGGATCCATGGGAACCGCCACGTCAGCACGGCTGCCCGCTTCATTTTCTCGAGAGTTTTCATCCCAAAGCGACATCGCCTAGTCCCCTTGGTGCTGCAAGCTCCCTCGTATCTCTGAATAGCTCCTGGCCACGTTTCATCTCAATTTTAGCCAGCAGCCGTGCTTGATCATGCAGACGTCATTCGTGCCGGATGGGCTGTATGCTATTGGCCCCGGAGTCGCCGTGTTCCACAGCTTATTAGCTCCAGCTGCTTCACAGGCCATAATTAGTCCGCTGCTAGACCTGCATGGGGCTGGACACCACCGAATCGGCGGATGGACGTCACTCCGGATCCCCTGAAGCAATATGCACGCACATGTGCATAGCCCGCGCATATTTGCGACGTCGGTGAGCGCGACGGATCATCGGCACGACTGCGAAGGGCCTCTGCTCACCGGAGCAGAGCCCACCTTACAGGGAGCGTTCAACAAGTATCATGCGGTCCCCTAGGACGTTTCGCTCACCATGCATGGTACAACCTTAGCAGCACCGGAAACGACATGGCTGAGGATAATGCCCCCTGGACTACGCGGAGTCGGGTGGTCTCACAACGCGCGTCCCCTTCGCCTTACTCCGCTTTCGCCGTTCACTCTCTGTTTCATTCTAATCAGTCTAAGCTTGGCGTCACCGAAGATTAGTAATTATGCAGAATTGCAACTTGCGGGGAACCGAGAGGAAAGTGTCACCAGGATTTGAATGGCGCAGGTTCGCACAGATGGCGACCCTTAGAGCAATCCTCACATGTCAACGGATCAATGGGTAGTTTTGCCATCGGGCGCGAAGACGAAACATACTAGGCTTAGAAGGCCTGACTCCACCAGCATATGTTGGATTGATAGCAGAGACGTCAGCACCGCCTCTTACCCAACGAATGAGGATAGGGAATTTGAGTTGCCGCCAACCTCCCGATAAGGTTTTTGGCGAAATCAGCACGGCTTCTCGTCAAGCGTACGCATGGAATGCATGCGTCAGTCCACCGTCACAGCTCCCTGACATCGCAACCAGGCGCATACGCAGCAACGGTGCTCCTCCGCTTCCGCCGACACACTCTGTGACCAAGTGATTCGCTGTCGGGAATTCCGATAGGCTGTAGTCCACCAACATCGCATTTACCCGAAGTCAAACCCGCCGGCACGCCGAGAGTGGGAAGAGATAAGCGTCCAGCGGCAACGACGACTCCGCAAGGGGTTCCTCTCGGACGTATGCACGGGTCCAGAGCGGCATGCACAGGGATTCCCAACCATGAAAGACGCCTTCGGATTCTGGGCGCATGCACTCGCCAGATCCGGCACGGCGACTCGGCGATAGTCCTCCCTGGGAGTGTCATCTGGAAGTGTATGTGGCTCTCCCATTCACCAGACACAGCAAGGGGAGCATATGCGCGGAGACCGCCCCTTTCGATGGACACGCAAGGAGCGCTTTTTGAGCTCAGGGGGACATCGACGGCAGAGCGCATGCAAATGCACTGAGACGGTGGCCATCACCTTCACGAGCCATCGGCCCATTGCCACCCCCAGTCATGGCACCGGAGCTCCACGGAGGGTCTGACATTGTGACCACCATCGAACACCGCACCACTCGTCTGATGCGGCGCAGTGGGTCGTTGCAGGCCACTCGCTCATCGCCACCAACAGGCACGATGCAGGACCGCATCCATGAAGTCACGGAGCGTCCGATGACCACCAGTCTTCATGTATCGGACACGACACAAATCGTCTGATGCAGCACAGGAAGTCATTCCAAGCCACTTGCTTATCGCCACCAATAGACACAACGGACCGCATGCACGAAGTCACGGAGCGTCCGATGACCACCAGTCTCCGTACATCAGAAACGGCACGATGATGCAGAGCAGAGGGTCATGGCAGGTCACCTGCTCATTGCTACCAATAGACAAGGTATAGTAGCGCATGCAAGAAGTGACGAAGCGCCTGGTCTTCGCTGCCAACCTCCTGAGGGGTGGCGCTACGATAGTGTCGGCGATGCGCCAGGCCTGAGGACGTTGGTCTAGCCCTTGTCCAACAAATGAGGGCAGAGGATTTGCTTCGCTGTCAAGCTCCTGATGGGGATTCGGCATCACGATGGTGTCAGAGCTCGCGTGCGACGGGCCGGATAGGCGGATACGACTCGACGGCAGCTTCCTGAGGGCGCTGATCAGGCGGCAAGCTGAAGCCCTTGCAATTCATGCATTGTGGGTGGCAATCTACTAATTCGCGCCCTCCCAAGGCACATGCATCACGTACGTTGATTTGCTAAGAATTATGGGGTGTCTTTCGAAGGCTAATGCTGCACAAGAAGGCTGTGCGCGAAGAGAGGACCTTATATGCCCTGACATTTCCCTCGACTAAGGCCTACCAGAAAGGCACGAGGCAACGGCGACTCCAACGGCGCAACGACTGCAGAATCGCGACAGCGACGATGGCGACTTCTCGACCTTTCCGTATGCCTCCAGCGATTTCACTTGATACAATCAATCCCTACACCTACCCTCCCGAAAAGCCGGCTTCTCAAAGTCGCGCTGTTGTGATATCCAAGAATAGATCGAGCAGCAACTCTGAGAGGGGGAGGTCTCTTACGCCGACAATGCGCATAGCGAAGGCGGCAGGGTTGCTTTACTCAGGCACGTCACAACATCCCGATCTTGAATTCTTACACTGACAGAACCTGCAGATGGGGAGGACAAAGAACATCCGGTAGTCATCAAGGATGATCAGTCCGATTCGGACTCGGAAGCTGAGGGAAGCGAAGCTGATAGGAAAGGCCCTGAGCTAGGTACGCCCTACGCCTTTAATGCGATGGTCTCGTCTAACGACCAACAGGTGATGGAGACGAGAGTAGCGATAACAATGATGACCTACCTGAGCTGGAGGATCTCCTCCGTCCATCTCACAAAACCAAAACCAATACCGAATTTGCGGCACCAGACGGAAATCAAACGGATTATCCAGCTGAGCGCATCAGTGCTGCGGCTGCCTCACAGTCTGGGCAGGCGCTCGGGACATGCGTGGTCGCCGATCAAGAGTATTTGGGAGTCGATAAGGAAGAGAGCCTCGGTGTGTACCAGACGCTGCGGTAACCGCAATCTCAAGCTGACAAAGGTAGACAATCCACCGGCCGATGGGGAGAGTAATCGCGACAAGGCGAATACAGTAGACGATCCGTTACCGACCCCAAACAAGCGGAAGCTCGATCAGCTCAGTCGACCCAACGATATCGAATATGATTCCAATGATTCTGCCAAAGACGGTACCGTGGGCCCGCGACCCCAGAAGCAACGAAAACAACCCGACTCATGCAATGGCTCCCCCATGGCCCTCCCTTTCATAGACTACGGTACTCTATCGCCGCACGATAGGACTGGTTATGATCCAGGTAACGACAAATACGGCAACAATAACAGTCGAGTTGTCAACAGCGACGGCAGCGACGGCAGCAACGACCCCCGCCTTCGAAACAACGAACGACTAAAGTCTACGGCATGCCCGCCCCCCTCTTCCGACCAAGCGTCCAACAGTCGATATAGTGGTGAATCACCGCACGACCAGGCTAGCAATGGCGTTCACGATCGAAACCTCGACGATCCCGTTAGCGACCCAATCAAAAAACACAATCATGGGGACTGCAATAGCAATGATGAAGGCGACAGCCACGGCGACAGCGAAGGCGACTTATGTAAAACATCCAGCAGCGGCGGGGAAGATGAGGACAAGGGTAATCACAGCGATGGTCCCGGCGACGGCAAAGGCAGCAGCGGCAAGCATGCCAAGCCGCAGAAACAGCATACATCAACTATTCGCGGCGTTTTAAACTCGAAGCGTGCGAAGCAGCGTACCGGACGGCATTATCATCACTTGCGTTCACATTCTCAGGGGTCCCGCGCTGGAACCAACCAAGTCAACAAGACGGACGACGAATGGGAGTTTCGTAAAATTGTAAAGGAAAGAGTGACCAAGTCAGGCCTCGAATATATGTTACGTTGGAGAGACACCTGGGTTCATGAAAGCGGCCTGTCCCATGCCAAAGATGCCATCGAGTCTTATCGAAAACGCGTCCAGCATGATAAGGTTGGGTCACCGCAGATGCACTCATCTGTGGAAGTAAAGGGCAGAGCTACCGTGAGAAAGGGATGACGGGGATGCTGAATTCCTGAGGACATGTTGCTTTCAGAGCGCGGCAGTTTCTTTGTTTCCTTCTTTCTCTCTTTCTCTCTCTCTCTCTCTACCTAAATACAAGATAGAAATATCTCCCTTTGGCGTCATGACAGGAAGGAGGTCACAAGCATTTGTGGCTGAGTAGCAATTGTGAGGATGCCGCGTGGAGCCGTCGGAAGGCCAGCAGGAATGACCTTGGCATTTGGTGCACATGACTAAGGGCCGGTCAACTAACTCCTTATCCCTTATCTACAGCATCCTAAGAGTTTTAGATAATCCAAATTTTTCGAGATTTCTAATTGATTAACCATGCTTAATATTCAGCCGTATTCTAAATTTTCACTAAGTCACGTGCTCTGCATAGAGCACTGGTTCCTCTCGTATATCGGCGACCTCCCAGCCCCATGTGAGATGTGTGGATTGTGCGTCACGCAGCTCTCTCGATCGACCCTAGCTAACATACTGAACAGATTCAAAGACTAGATGTGGCAAAAGGTTGGTTCGGAGATGCACATCCCTTGGAGGTCTGCTGAGAGCATGCACTGGCAGCTGGGCGAGCAAGAAATGAGCGCCCGCGCCAACGCTCCCGTCTTCCAGCTCCACCCTTCCGCTGCTGGTACTGATATACCTTCGCCTCCTAGCGGCGATCCCGCAACGCCGCATTTCACGCCCGCGAACACCCCGCAAACGCAAAACCTAGCACCGGGGCAACACCATTATCCGCAACCGCATGCGCCTCATCTCCATCACCAACGGTCCGATGCTGGGCCCGCGCCCCGCAATAGCCCTTTCAGCCGCCGCCGCTCTGACGGCTCGAGATCACAATTCAGCCTACCATAGCTGGGTCCGCAACTGCCGACTCTGCAGCCAGTGTCTGAGAGTGATTTAGCAAGTGATGGTGGCGCTAGGACGGCACTGGTGTTGAGGGGCAGAAGAGGGGTCGAGAGAGTGTTGGCTTTGTCGAACCGTATCTTAAAAAGAGGAGGGTCTGGGTCTGTAGATGTGAAGGGGACGAGGAGTCCGGAGAGTATATCGCAGCGCAGTGGGACGGAGAATAGGATGGAGAGTAGGATGGAGAGTGGGACGAAAGAGGAAGAGGTAGAGTTAAAGAAGGAGTGAAATTGTCTGGCTAGGATATGCATGTCCTCCCAGTCCGCATTCCATCTGAGGGTCACCTCCCTCGAGCACTAGACTGCCCCCCTGGCGTTCTTCTGCATATTGAAGGCCCTTGTCACACTCCTGCATCGACCCGCTCTGAAATTCCTGTCCGCTTGCAAGCCACATGCATATGCACCTTCTCCTATTGATAAGGCCACGGATATCCGTCCTCAAGTTTCCCACCTCGATCCTCTCTCGCATAGAGGGCCCTGGTGCTTCACTATATATATATATATATATCCCGAGTCTCGCAAGGCTGAAACGCCCTGCTCAGGTTGCTTTCTGCATTATCATCTGAATCCACAGTGTCCCAGGATACTGCAAAGCCCAATCAGTTTCAGGCTTCAGTACCTCAAGCCTGCATTCCAGAAACATCCTCTTGTCCAACCGATATTCGACCTAGCAAAAGCTCAACGGAAGTGCAACCTTCGTCCGGCCAGACATCAGCATTTGGCTCTGCCCCACCGAAACAATTCACCATCTCGAGTAGCTGCATATTTTCGAAACCCAGCAGCTCATTCACAACATGGGATGACCCGACACGCCGCGATTGGCGTCTCCTTGATATCGGCGATGAAGACGCCATGTACCCAAGAGCAGCGTAGCGCAGTGTCATAAGCGCGTGAGCGGCTAGCCTAGCCGCCCTGTTGCAACAATCGTGGCATCGTTAACCAGCTGGTCATCTTGGCCGTGGTCGTAGTCTCTGCAGCCATACGCTGCTGGGGCGAGTGGTGGTGACTCGCACCTTACTCGGCCGCTTCTTGTCCCCCTCCTCTTCATCGCCTACGTCGAGAGTCCGTCGCCGCTTCCGGCTCTTCTGCCGTGCTGTGTTGGGCACAGCATCTTCTGCAGCGGCGGAGACTTCTTGGGCAAAGCTGACGTGCTTCTTAGCGGGGCGCTCTTTCTCCTCCTCATCTTCCTCGGACATCCTCCGCCGCTTCCTCCTATATGGTGTGGCCAGAGGGCTTTCGGCGGACAGCGGTGGTGTTGGGAGCCAGTCTGCTTGGCGTGGCCTCCGCGGCCTCTGGGGCCGGTCTGGTGCTGCCACTGGTTTCCCCGGACCGACTCTGGCGTCAATATCATTACCGCCTTTGTCTTTGTCGTCGTCGTCGTTGTCGCTGCCATCGTCAGAGGTGGCCCCCTCGAGCTCTTCATGCGCCTTCAACTCGGCCTTGCGCTTCTCTTTATACTCCGGTGGTGTGTGCCCCATAGGCCATTCGTCGGCGGCGCCATGATACATAACACTTCTACATATCTGTTCGGTGATAACCGCATCGAGGTGCTGTTTAAGTGCGGTAGCGAATTGGCCATCGTAGGCTTCCTGGGATACTGGTGTACCCGCGCGAGGAACGAGGTAGGCACCTTGAGTGGCAACAATGTCGAGGCAGTCCTGCAAGTTCGCGCTGCTGTTAGTTCGATGGGCCGCAATGCGGAACTGAATAAAAAGGATGCAGGCTTACGATGAGCAGATCTTGGCTGGCCGTGGTAGTGGGTGGGTTGTCTGGCCGCGATGTCATGGCAGCGATGGCTGTGTGCAAGGACGTCACGAGTTGGGCTGTTTTGGGTAGAGGTTGGAAAGGTGAGAAGGTGAGCCTTCAAATAAGGTCGGAAATCCATGAGTCAGCACGGGCGCGGCGAGGAGGCGTTATCACGTGATCTAATATGTGGGGCACGACAAGGGGGTGGCACGAACCCCAGGCCTGACCACAGTTGGAAGCGATAGAACACAGGGCAGCGGCATCATCGTTAAGAGAAACGGGAATTCAATTGCTACAAGCACTAGATACAGTATATACACTAGTGCTACTAGTCTCTCTCTTGCACAAATATAACATGCCAGCCAGGCGGCCTTCCAAACAACGCTCGCTCACACCTCCCCATCTTCAAGGCCATACTCCAACCGTCGTCTCTTCGCCTGCGGAGATTCGGGTAGCAGCGAGCCCCAAGCTGGGTGCTGGAGAACCTCGTCGATATCGGGGCGCTGCGCATGGTTGTTCACTGCCCACTGGTATCTCACCATCTCAATAAAGAGACCGCCGACTGCAAGTTTGGATCAGCCCGTCTGCCACCAGAAGCCATTGAAGCTCTGCGACGTGGAACACTCACGATGTATGTAGCCTCTGGCCGGCGACGCGCACGCACTCTTATAATCCCTAGCCATTTTGTCAATGGTATTCTGATAACTGTTCTCGAAGGAAGGGCGCAGCTTCTCGTTGTCCTTGCCGTCGCGCCATGGGTTGATGGAGAACTTCCACGGGTGGTAGTTGTACGTCAGCTCGAACAAGATGATGCCCATGGACCAGATGTCGATGGAGTGGTCGTAGTCATCCAGCTCGAGCTCGGGAGCGAGATAGCCGATCGTGCCGACTGTGCCCGGCTCGGGCCGTAACGACCCACCTGCCTGGATGTGCCTGGATGTGCCAACGTCCAGCAGGACGGAACGGAGCGGGTTGACGATGAGGCCGATGTTGGTCAGCTTCAGATCGCGGTGCAGCCAGCGTCCGTCGTGCATGACTTTGACACCCAACAGTGCGTCGCGGAATGCAGTCGCCGCCTCTATCGTCATGCCCTTGCACCCTCTGTCGAGCTCATGCGTCAGCTGCGTTCTCTTAAACCATGATTTCAAGACAAGAGGCTCACCCTTTGCTCCGAGTCCCCACCAAGTCGCCGAAGGTCTGGGGCGTCATCGGCTTTAGGACAATGGCAACATTGTCAAAGGCCGTCTTGGAGGAGAACTCCTTGCTGTTGGAGTAGATCACCTCTGCCATGCGCAGAATTCGCTCACCGTCGTCTGACTTCTGTACGAAATTAGTCACTTCCCGAAGTGTCTCGATCTCTTTATCCACACTGTGACAATTTTGGGAAGTCCGCTCCACCACTTTGATGGCGGCCACGTTGGCTGACTGATCCGAGGCGAAGAATACTCTTCCGTGACCGCCCGCACCCAGAGCATCTCCTAGTGTCCAACTGCCCATCGTTCTCTTGTTGGGGAGTGGGGTCGGCATCTCAACATCGATGTTGGCAGGCCTGCCAAGAGCACGAGCCACATAGCGTCCGCGCTCTTTCTTGAAGTCGTCTTCGGCAGCGAATTCCTCCCACTGGAAGTGGTATTCGAGCTTGTCGAGCAGGATATTCATGCTGTGCTGGTTCAAGTGATATGGCCGCCGCATGGCTGCGTCGCCATTGACCGTCAGCTGCGCCGACGGAGACCTGGAGCAGCCTATGATGTAGAAGCCCTTGCTTTCAGGAAAGAAGTTGAACCGCGCATGGGGGTTCCGGAGGTTGATGTCGTGCGACTTTGCGAAAGACCTGGTGCAGAGGAGCAGGTCGATGGGCATGTTTTCCAAGGGGCCCTTTCCCGCCGCCCATCCCCTCTCCGGCTCGGCCGGCGGAGACTGCAGCACCAGCAGATAACAGCCGACCCAGACCATGCCGAGCTCTTGAAGCTGCTTCTCGGTGTCGGTATCTGGCTCCGTAAGGGTTTCGCTCGCTTCGCCATCAGTGTCGTGCTTGGTGCGTTCCATCTCGCGTCGAAAGCGAACTATCTCGTCGTCGCATGTCTGCTCGGGCTCGACAAGCATGCGGCGGAGGGCGGCTTGAGCGCCATCTGCCTGGCGCCGAGACGTGAGGGCGTCATAGACGTCGCTGAATGCTAGCCTGGCGAGGGCATTTGCGGGTGTAAGGGAGGCAAAGGCGCGGTCCGACATTTGATAACAGATAGGGTGCTTACGGCAGACTCCGATGAGGCATATGAGCTTCAATCAGGTACCAGAATGCCGTGGGAAATGTGCACCTTTTCAAATGCGACTGCCAATTATAGAACCCCTTCCTGGTTCCGTAACGTAGAGACAGCCATACTGCAACCACTCGATCTTGCTTCCTCTGGTAGGTATAAGATATGGAACGTCCATGCACGGCATCTTCGGCGTATCGCGGTCCAAGCTCAACCATCTGGGATCTACCTAGCAGAAGGATCTTTAAATCCTTAGGGCCTTCGCTAGCTGGCTTCTCGGCCTATTGTTGTGGCCGGAACGTGACCCGCGATGCAAGGCCAAAGCCGGACGTCACTGATTCGTTAATAATGCAGGTCCCCACTTCACTTCACTTTTGCTTCACTTCACTTTTGCTCCACTTCACTTCACTTTTGCTCCACTTCACTTCACTTTTGCTCCACTTCACTTCACTTTTGCTCCACTTCACTTCACTTTTGCTCCACTTCACTTCTCCTGTCCCCTGCAGCACGGCACATGCCCCCCCCCACGCCACTCCACTCCACTTCTAGCAGAGCAAAAGTTCACTTGGGGTGTGGGCCACTTGGGGTGGATTACGTTAGCAAACTTTTTGGTGCGATTTGGACCTTTTGATGCCCCAGCAATCTCAACAACCACAAAATATTATAGGCTGCAACTTAGAATAAACACAATAGTAGCTATTTTAATATTATTAGTCAATTTTTAGGGTCTCTCGATGGCCCCATTTAGTCGTAGTAGAGTTTTGGCCCCTAAGACCAGGTAAGATTTACAATACAATAAAATTACACGTAAGTTACACATCGCTCCAGCTCTTTGCCTAGCTATTAGAAAGGGCTAAATATGTATGCTTATATAATCTCAACTGTGGTTGTTAAGATTGCTGGGGCGTTAAAAGGTCCAAATCGCACCAAAAAGTTCAGTGGGCCACTTGGGGGTGTGGGCCACTTGGGGGTGTGGGCCACTTGGGGGTGGATTACGTTACAGGCAGCAACATAAGTGGTTGCCTTTCCTTCAGGACTTCTTAAAAAGTGCCCGTCTCACTGGTAAAACCGTGTCCAAAACTTCCAATCTTTGCGGGGTTGTAGTCACTTCGGGGTTCCTCTCTACGTGCAAAATACTACCAACCAAGTAAGTCACTTCGGGGCCACAGACCTGCAGCGGCGGCTATTGAGACTCTGTTAATAAGATTCGCTTCCACGTCCTGGCATGGACAGAAAGACGCCAGTCGCGAATGACGTTGCGCGGGATGACACGGCGCTTCAGCAGCTGATCCAAGACAAAGTAAGTCTCATCTCAAACCCCCATTCCCCACAACCCCCCCCCCCGCAAGAGCATCAATAATTGGTACGCCAGTTCCCGTCCACCGACCCAATGCTCGGAGACTGGGAGGTCGGGACGGGTCAGTTTTCCTCTCTTCAAAAGGGCCTGCCGCAGGGGCGGAAGCTCTGCGGCGTAGTGGTCAGGGTGCACAGCGAGAACGGCGCGGTGCGGGTGGGCGGCGAGATGTACAGCAACGTCAAGACGGAAAACGTGGAAACGGGGCGGCATCTCAAGGACGAGCATTTCCTCCTCGTCGTGGACGCTGGCAACTGGTGCATGACACTAGGCAGGCCGACGTATCGTCTTATATTAATGTAGTAAAACACACTACTGGCTTTGTTCCGCTGGCTGAATATAGGTGGCCTCCCTCTGCATGCCGTGCTCCACGACCGCCTTTGCAATGCCCAGGCCGAACTCCATCCTCATGCCCCATCCCGCCGGTCCAAACTCGACAGAGGGTGGAGAGCACTCGTCGAATGGGCAGTTGATCTGCACCGGTGCGTCCGTGTACTTGTCCTTCAGAAAATCCAGCAGGTCGTGCAGGGGCATTGTCAGAGACACCCCTCCCTGCGGCATCGCCCCATAGGGTAAATCGTCGTGGTGTTCCGTCTCCTGGTCCAGGCTCTCTGGCCGGTCTGGCGGTGCAGCTGTGCCAGGGAGCCGAGCGGCGTAGTGCTTGATCGCCTGATCCAGGCCCTCTGGCCTGGCCACGGTGCGCCACCAATTGGAAACAGCATTGGCGTAGATATCGGTAGTCGTAGCGCGTGCCCGTTTGCCGCGCAGGTTCCAGCGTAGTTTGCTGAGCGCATCTAGGGTGGTGCCGATGGCGCACAGGAAGAAGACTTCGAGGGAAATGGACAAGAGCTTGACGAGGATCGTCCTAGCTCTTTTGCGGTGATTGTTGCCAATGATCGTGTCCGGGTCGTCCCCGACGACGGCTACTGCCTTTGATAGCCTGTTTTCCTCGAGATCTTCCAGGAGGGAGAATCCGCTGGAAAACCTCCGAATCCCGTTGTCGAGCACGGCGATAAGGCTGGTGTGGTCTGTGAGCGCAGGGGTGGGAGCCATGGAGCCATCTGTGGAGAAGAAAAGTAAGTGAAGTGAAGTGAGGTAGATAAAGTGAGGTAAAGTAGAAGTGAAGTGAAGTGGAGCGGAGTGGAGTGATGATGCAACGCCATGCAGCTGTGTATTGGTCCATACCCCCTGTCGGAAGGGCTGGCATAGCCGAACCAGCCATAAGTTCCAAAGGAACCACCCCGTCTGAAAGAAATTAGAATTCTGAGTTTTTTATTATACAATTGCTTGCGAATCGAACTCCAATTTTTGTGCATACTATGGCAGATTTTCGCACTTTGGGCTGACAACTGATGTGGGGAAGAGATCGTGTGGAAGTACAACGAAGTTTTACAAGGCTTGCCAAGAACTGCAAGGACCGTGCGGCGCCAACCATCTACGATGGGGCGGGCAGTGCAAGCACCGGAAACGCCGACAAGCTGTTGCCTTTGGTCGTGACAAAGGGCAAGTTTACTCGAGACTTAGGGGCCAGAACCTGGAGCCTGGCAGCCTTGAGGGCCCGGAACTGGGCGGAACCCTGCAGAAAGGACCGAAAACTGGGTCCTGATCAGCTCAGGCTTGCTCAGTTTTACACTGCCACAGCTCATGTTCGCTTAGTCATGGCTCAGTTTAGTGATAGTTAGTGTAAAGGGCCAGTCTGAGCCAGGACGTTGGCAGAAAGCCGTCGGGTGGTTTTCGTCTCATAGTTTCTCAACTCAATTAAACACCTTTTACTTCAACTTTCATACCAAATGGTAGCTGAGCCTAGGCTCCACCAGCAGCGTACGTTGTGTTAGCACCCCATTGTTCGAGAAACGCGACCTCGCCGCGGTCACCGGCTTCGATTCCGCGACGCCCCGCAACACCAGCTGCGCAACACCAGCTCTGCAACACCCTCTCCACGACAGCACCATCACAACGTCCTATACTCGCCGTCCTCTGCTTCCGCAGCGTCGCCGAATCCGCGAGCTCGTCGCGATTCCATAGACCCCGCCGTCGCAATCTTGTCACCTAGCTCCTCTTTAGCACCCACCATAGGGCGCGCCGAGCCTGTTAATCAACACTCCGCCAGCACCTTCCATCGCTTAAAAGCACTTTCCGACTCTGCACAACACCGTCGCTTTATGACATCATCTAGATGATATCGTTCCGGTCGTGCATTCCGCGTGATTTCGATGTACCTGCTGCCATTTTCCCCGCAGATGGTAGGGTCGAACCCGAGGTCCTTTTGGGCCATCCACAGATATCCCAAGTATGTCGAATGAGTGCGACGCGACCGCTCCCAGTCGGTCGAATGTCCAGAGTCGCATGACAGAACCGCAGAGTGTGAAGCCAGTAACAGATCGTCGGGTGTCTTGCGCTGCAAAGATCTCCCGAGCATATCGAGAGAGATCGAACCAGGTGCTGCTGTGGTTATCCTCTCGCGGATTGCTCTTCAGCTCGCCTGGGACGAGGACGTCGCACCAGTCGCAGGGAGCACCACCGTTAGACATCTCGTTCCTCCCGCCATATATGATGCCAATGTCCAGCTTCCGTTTGCTGATAGATCCGGGGATAGGCTTGTTCGGTGTGGCAAAGCACCGCCGACGCGTCGGAGGCTGGAAGCCTTGCCTCCAAACGTGCCACATCGGGTGCTACTTGGAGGGTACTTGGAGGGTAATCGGAGGGGAGATGTAGGATCGACCGCGACTTGCGGCGGGGACGAGAGGGAACAGCGCCATGCCGCTGCACTTGTTGCACACAAGGGTGAATAGTCAGCTTCCTTGTGCGGAAGGATGGACAACTCAATTTCAATACAGAACTCGCGAACTGCATTAGAGAACGGAGCTCGACTGCGACTGGCGCTGGGATGGGATGTAAAGCTATACTACTGTTATACTACTGTATCTCCGTTTTAGGGGCGGGCGGTCTCCTCCTTGCGCGTTGACGTTAGCGCCCTTGCTCAGCAGCTCGACGATCTTGTCGTGGCCTCCTCGCGATGCCGCCTGGAGCGCGCTGCGCGTTTGCTCAAGGCCGATCATCCCTCGCCACGGCCACGGATGTCAATCTCGTTCAAGGGCTACAAGGAGCTTGACGCTGAGGCGGTCTCCCACAATGCGCTCCATCAACACCTATGTCACGATTATTAGACCACTAGGCGTAGACGGATCGCGAAGTCGGAAGGCGCTGGTGCGCATGTCGCCGATACCGAGGTCGCTGCCAACGGTGAAGTCACTGACGTCAAGGTCAATGGTGATGAAGTTTGTGACGTCGAAAATACTGACCGCAAACCCGCGAAGCTGCCGAGATTATCAGCGCACGGTAAACTGAGCTCGTTATACCTATGTCCTCACTTCGGCAGTGAAACGTAGCGAAGAATATCACATATGGAAACGCCCTCATCCAGCTTCCATCCCGTTGCAGGCTTCTTCCGACTATGTTAGTTAGCTAGGTCGTATACTGGTCATCAAAATTGGTACTCACCTAAATCAGTGACAAGTTGCTTGAATTCAACCGGGGGACCTTGAACGCTAGCTTCTGGATACTTCGACTTGAACGAAGCTCGAAAGGCGTCAAGCCCATTCTACTAGGAAAACTGGTAGAACCGAAGTTATGCCGCCTACCTCGTGACCTGAGAGGAAAGCGAGCGACGGGCCCAATGCGGGGTCGCTCCATCAGTGGCCCTTGCCAAGCATTGAAGTTGGGCGGCAAATTCCGCTGCGCTGACTGCGCAACACCAAAATAGCAACTCACAGCTCACCCGCGATATGAACGTCGCCTCCTCGCATGCTACACCGTGCCAGAATTTGATTTTAGCCTTTCCCGACGCTACAAGTCCTGCCGATGTCTAGTTGGACGACATCTTCGACGCCTGTGGCGCACACGAAACCCCCCTCAGTCCAACACTGCAGATTGCCTCCCCAAGCCGCGCAGAACGACGCCCTCATCGTCATGTTTCGAAGTGCAAACACCCCGCCCCTGCTAAAGTGAGCCTGCCGCCGAACGATCGTCGTCTTCCTGCCCCGAGGTGCCCACAGTCAACCGCACGTAAAAATGCTTCTGTTGCGCGGGCCCCAGACTCGAACCCAATCTACACCGAGGGTTGCACAAATGAATATAATTATAGAGACTGAAAATGGCGGGGCACAGCTACTGGGGAATAAAGACCGAGAGGGCCACTTTCGGCTGGCAGGATGGCGTTTCTTTGCTCGACGGGAAGCCGGACTGACAGGTACAGCATGCGTATCGGGGCCGTTCTAATCGTGGCTAAGAGGCGGCGTAGGAAAAGTTTTGAATGCTTACAACCCCCATCCACTACATCCTCCTCGACCCGCAGCCGTTCGTCGTCGCCATCAAAGTGTGGCCCTATTGTCAAGCGCAAGAATCTCTAATACCTCGCTGTAGCCAAGCTATGTAAGGTATACCGCTGCACTCTTAATATCTGTCGCTAGCATTCCTTACAGCAAGGTTCCGTCACCACCTCTCTCATAGATAGAGTTTTCCCCGCAAAGTCATGTACGACTATGATACTAATGTCCAGCGAATGTGCATGGTAATCATGACTGGAAGGATCGATGAGAGAGACTAGAAGAGCAACAAAAGATTACACCGCACCCAGCCGCAGTCACCACTCGATGCGCCCCCAAGTCCTTGTCAATCCGTTTCATTCAACTTATGACTCTTGCCTTCACTTTTCCACACATTTCATAGAGGATGTTTTTGGCAGAAGGATAATGACGCTGTGCGACTGTCGCGTTTTCTACGGCTAGAGTCATGTAACACGATCGATAACTAACGCAAACAATTCCATTCTTGTTATAAACAAATCTTCCCTAATATAGCCATCTGGTTTTCTATCTGCTCGTAGGAGGGTTGGAGAAAGTATTGAGCCCTAGTTCTTCTGCTCGGGATGCACTTGCTTGCTGCAAAACAGAGCTCAAAGGAGTTGGCTTGCTCTCCTGGGAGCTTCCTGAACTACCATTTAGAGTACTGTCCTCAGCTCCATGAGACTCTCTTTCGCTAGTTGCGCCACTGCCCTGCTGGGCCATTGAGTTGGGAGCGTTCGAGTTCGGTTCGCTGTTGGGGTTGGACATGGTGGGTGGGTTGGTTCTTGTTGAAAGTCAGCATGTGCCATGGAGAGGGAGAATGCCTGCCCTCACCTGGGTGGCTTCTATCGTGGCGTATACGAGCAAGTGAAAGCTCTGAGCTGCCTTGGTTAAACGGTGCTTGTTATGGAAGCGCCTCAACGTTAACTGACAGTGAGGGGTATGCTACTACCGGAAGGAGATGGAGAAGAAAGATGAGCTTAATGTAGTCGGCGGGAAGCGGTGGACGATGCTTTGCAGGGTCGGTGCGCAGGTTCGAACAGGAGAAGATAAAGAATTAGACTTGATAATTGACAGTGACTGCAAACCTTTATACCTATGCTCCTACGCCCCTCGCTCACGCCCCATGCCAACTACGCTGCCCTGGTAATGTTGAGCGCAACTGTAGAAGTAACAGCGGTATTCGTCCCGTTACGGAGATGCCTGCGAGTGTGAAGAGGCTTGCAGACTACATCACTCTCTACTTCAATTAGATTGGAGCATCGCGAGCTGCACAGAGTTGTTTCCTTGGTAGTGGGAAGCGTGGTGGTGCTGAATGACGCCGCAAGAATCATCAAGCTCACACTCCCCAGCATCGATGGTCGGTCCGATGCACCTGAAAGGTTGTCGTGAAGCGGATCACTTGATGGTGGTAGGCTGTAAGAGCGTGGAGGCGATATGCAAGCCCTCCCATTAATGTGCAGCAGTAAGAATGGAATATCGCTTGTCTACGCCCCTATTTTGGCTAGGTTCAAAAGCCCCGACTTGATATCTGATGTGAGATGTGAGAGACCTGCAGGCCGATTGAGTGGACTCGGAGTATCTCAAATTGATGCATTCAGCCTTTCCTCCTGCAAGCCTCAATGAAACTGCCCCCACAAACTCCCCTGCAAACTCCCCTCGTAAACTCCCCTGCAAACTCCCCTCGCAAACTCCCCTGCAAACTCCCCTCACAAACTCCCTGGCAAGTGACTTGGTGTCTCTCAGAAAGGAACAATTCACAATAAAGAGCCCGATGTTTCACCATACTACCAAAACGACTACTTGTAGCCATTAAGAGTTGATAAGTGCTATTTGCGCCCAATGTTGATGCAGTTGAATGTAGTCGTGCCCAATATATCAGTTGGGCGGGTTACCCGTGCCCCGCTATCCCCGCCGGTCGCCAACTTTCCGAACAACGCGCAAACCCTTCAACTACCCACCAGCTTCAATGAAGGCCATCTCGCTATGCTGTCTCGGTTGACTTTCTTCTAATCACATACCAACCTACGAGTGTCATATATCCGGCTGGTAATTTTATCGGTAGATACACCAGCATTCTGGGTGCTAATTATTCACGCAGCTGAGCTGCCTACATCAACATCGACCACGATCAGCATCTTGTGGGCTTGTTATTCCAGGAAACACATTCCTCTCATGGTATGTCGCTTGATCCATACGGCGCTGGCTTGCCTTATGTTTCTACAGGACTTCGCAGACAAGGATCTCGACGACGAAAACATCGATTGGACAGGCGCCTCTGATACTCCCCATCGTATCCATGGGAAGGGCCAAAAGATACGCTGGCGCGATTGCGATGGCTCTCTCTACCAGTCGAGCGAGTCGGAGAAAGGCCTGAACTTCATTAGAGCGATCACACGGCGTAGGGGGTACGGGACACTGTCTGCCGGATTAACGCTGGTATTTGTCGGATCTGGTGGGCAAGTGAAGGAAGAATAGCATTGGATATTGCTCTTAGTCGCTTTATTTATTTATCCAAATAACATTTCTTTTAGTCGAAACCCTTCTTCTAATCCCAGGTTCAGGCTTAAAATGCCATCATCATGACAATTGCTGGTGATTCGCAGGGTCACACAAGCTGTATCAAGAATCCCTTGCTTTACTTCTTCCTTTCGTATTGGACTCATAGCAATTGCATGACACGTCTCGGCACCAAGCAACTTGGTAGTACCTTTCTCTTGAGCATCTTGTATATCCACTGTATGTGGAATGACTCTCCCTCCATTTTCCTGAAATATATTCCACAGTCTACCATCCGTCTCTAAATGTGTGCCGAATAACTCCATCGCAATATACTGAATTTTGTTCGCCATAATACCCAAACACATATAGCAACTGACATCACCATTAGGAGAGCGTGGAAATACTATTGTGATGGTGGCTGTATCCCCTCCCTTCTTTCTAATCGCGCCACACATGTACTGAGGGAAGACGTGAGCGATACGACTGGTAGCTGGGTCTGAGACCGATTGCTGGACGGAAGATGTGGATGTCGCTGTCAGACTTTCGATCGGAAGTGAGATGGGTGTGTATTGGGGTTCTGCGGTGTTCTCTCGAGAAGTATCGGAGGACGTTTGAAGATTCCCTTCGAGGCTGTGCGTCTGGCTTGAGGGTTGCATGGTCGTTGGCATGAGTCCCGTGCGCCCTAGCGAAACTGAATTAAAAAAGATGAACTATAACGTGACCTTGAATGACTCACGACGTTTCTGGGGGGGGCCCGGCTGTATCTTAGATATCACAGGCGTGATGGTGTGGTGAACGCTAGTCTTAACGAGCTGAGTCGCAACTTTCTCTTTATCTGCAGTGGAGAGGCTCTCGAACGCTTTAATCGTTGTCAGATCAGCAAGCTGTCCCTTGTAATGATGGCCATGGCCAGTAGTCGCGAGGAAGTATGCAAGCCAGGCTGAGATACCCGCGTCCAGAAAGATTCGTGGTGATGTTGAGGGCGGTGCAGAAAGCGCTTCTTTGTAGGCTTCGCGAAGCCCGGATGGCGCTCTCTCTTTCGTGCGCGTCCATTCCGACGTGAGATGTCCCGAAAATAATGCAGTAGAATCGCGAATCGTGACCTGTAGATGGTCCGCCATGGCCTCCCATGCAGAGTAAAGGGAGTTTGTGAGGGGAGTTTGTGAGGGGAGTTTGTAAGGGGAGTTTGCAGGGGAGAGGTCGGGCAGTGTGTTGACTAATGCGGGGCTAAGACTATGAATAGATGCCGAGAGAAGATAGGTGCAGACATCACTCTCCACCACATCCAAAACGATGCCTGCACTAACGACTCGATTAGAGAAGTGATGTACTCACTTCCATCCTCTCATCACGACGAAACAAGGTCACCGGAGAGGCGAACAAGGCGCAGCAATCATGCCTCCAGTCGCCCCGTCACTCGCTGCGACGAGATCACAGCATAGGACAATGGTCTCTGGCAAGCGGCATAGAGAAAACGATGCTGATGGAAGAGGTCTGCATGCATTTAGCGACGAGTCCGACGCACATTGACCTAATGCCTGTATGGCTATGCACCGAAGCAGGTGTAGAGGGTTGCGATTGGCCAAAGCGAACCGTAGCCTGACGTACATTATCGGCGATTGTGCAGTTGAACGATTCTGTCTCTGAATGAAGTTGCTGCCCATCCTGAGCGTAAATAGAACCCGCGCTTCGCTACAAAGCCTCCTCCATCTTACTTAAAGAACAGCTATCTTCGCGTCTTCAGTACGCTTCATCACTGCCTGCACATCAGCCGTTCCTCCCATCTACACTTTGTACCACGCCGCATTTTGAACTTTTACAGCATCTACGTTGAGGAATACGACTTTTCTCAAGAGAATTATCTAAAAGACCGCACGCTTCGCAGATTTGCGCCTAGAAGCCCTGCATATTCGCTGAAGGAAAAATCATCGACGTGAGTGTGTCAAAAAATCAGACTGTACCAACTTGATACTGACGAATACGATAAGATGGCAAACCTATATGTCGCTATATACAAGCCTGTGGGAGGGAATGTTCACCATTGGGCTCTTTGGCTTGAAGCATCTACATGGTCGCGCCTTTTTGAAGCTAATGCAGGTGGAAACCCGGGAGAATACGTAGTCAGTGAGCGAGAGAATGTACGCCCCAATGCTTCGGGCCGCCATAAATCAAACCGTTTTGTGGCCCAAATCGACGACTACAATGGCTTTATCAAGAATGCTCGAAGTTGTAAAGCTCCAGCAGACAGTGCGGCCTGGAACTGTCAGGAATATGTCTTGGATGTACTCGAAGCCGCAAATTTGGATGATATCATTGATGACTATCAGCACGCGGCGATCAAGGGCTACCTCGAGAGCATACACGATACGTAGGCTTAAAGCTTAACCAAGCGGAAAAGTTCTAGCACGAGGATGTGTTCTATCAATTCTCATGTAACAAGCGTCTCAAGTAATAAATCCATCGCCCATTCGTTACAATACTCTCCCATCCCTATCACGGGTAGATAATGATACCAATCATCCTCTTCAACTGAAGACATAGTATTGAGGGACTTTACATACTCCCAGTATTCTGGGTATGAGCCCCCAGCCTCCCAGTCAACGATACCCTTTATCTTGACGTGTCCATCATGAAGCTCTGCTAGAATGTTCCTTGGATGGAAGTCGCCATGGGTCATGACGATTCGATGACGTGAATGTAGACACGTTGTTCGTACGAATTCCTTATAAGTCTGAGCGATTCTCGGTTTCATCGTGGACAGAAGGAAGTTGTTGAAGTCATCTTCGTTATGGATTGGCACGGAACTGCAGCGAACTGATCTCCTAACGTCTTTGCATCTAGGAGGGTCGCCACTACCAAGCTGTGAAGATGGTAACGGTAAACTTCTGAGATTTTTGAGTATGGTGTTTAGCTGATCGCGAACAGACGTCTTCAGATCCGCTGAAAGAGATGGCCATAGCTCTTGTAAAGAAGTCCCTTCGATAAACGTCATGAAAAGATGTGTCATGCCGTTGTAGGTTATTGATCCTAGAGGTTGGGGCGAAGGAAAACTCTTCGAAACCCGGTGAATGTGCTCCATAATGGCCACTTCATTGAGGTCTAGTCCCTGACCAGTCTTGACAACAATGTTGGAGTGGATTTGCGTCACAGTCCGTCCACCAGAGGCGGATAGCTTCTTTCCCCTCTTCACCATTGCATCGATTTTGGACATCATGATCTGCTCGTCAGATTTCCCTGCCGGTTCCCTGAGTATTTCGCTCTCCATTACTGCTTTCACTTGAGGATCGAGTGGATGCGTGATGACTGCGGAGGTGCAATGCGGTGAGCGATTGATATGTTTGTTCGATGGGAGACTCTGCGAAAGCGAATCATCTGAAAAGATTAGCTTAATTATTTTGAAGGGACATTATCGCAACCTTGACCACTTTGACCGCTTTGACTCCGTTGATCTTGAAGTATCCCCCTCAAACGTAAGTATTTTAGGCGATAACTATTGAAGAGAGGCCCAAGATCGACCTCAGCATCTTGCTCCAGGGCCTTGTTACAGTCGTTATGAAAATTGAGCTGATATTGCTTGTTTAGCTTCCGTAGTGCTGCACTACCACTCGGTGTTGCGACTGGCGATACATTATCAGGTAAGTGCGTGCCAGAGGTGTGCCGCTTTGGTGGGTGTGCAGTATCTGCTGAAGAGCTGTCTCGACTGTGCTTCATTGGTGCCGTAGGACCGCTTGCGCAAAGCAGAGTGGTATCTTCCGTTGAGGGAGCTCGTTTGTGGTCATAAGAAAAGCCGAGATTGGAGAACGAAATCGCTCCTTCGTGAGGCTGTGCCAAGGCTGCTTATCTAAGTATAAGTCGGTCTGTGCATAAGTTATCCAAGGCTGACCCAGCAACCGCCATAAACATCCACGTGACATCCCACCAGCACTCTACACTCCACACTCTTGAACTACCCTATCGCCGCTCATTCAATCCGACGAATATACAGAACGCTTGTCGCACCTGAACTGCCTTCGGCTAGTGATCATGGTCTCGCGGGTCTACGGGAATGGATTTGAGGCCGTCCCCAATAAGTGGCTGATGGGATAAACATGTAACTCTGCGTCTTACTCGGCTCGAAAGGTGGATTTAATTTATAACAGCATCACGCCGCCGCCATCCCTCAACATCTCCCGCCTCAGCGGCGCTGCACTTCTCGTCTTTACTCTGTATGCTTTTTACATCCATCCTCTCATGCTGGGAAAGCGCGCGCGCTCCTGCGACGGTGCCGCAGGCTACTCGACCCGCAAAACGAATAACCCGCGCCATCGAGACCTCGGCTCCTCGCCCAGAAGGAAGACTTTACTCCTCTATTGACCACTGCTCTCGAAGTATCGGCTCTATTAACCTTGGTTGCGGCCTTTCTGTATTCCCTCATCTTCGAGAACACCGGGCGTGCTCCGTTGACCCTCCTTGCCCGCCACGCCTGCCCAGATCGAGCTCGCTCCTCCGACCGCAGCCCTCCCTCTGCGCCTCAAGAGAACTTGCCCTCCTTCGAACGCATCACACAGTGCTCCCTAATGTCCGTCCGCCGACGCGAAAAGACATCACCATCACTGAGAAGAAACAGCTGGCCGGGTACAACATAACTGTGGACAAACAGATTGCGCTTGCGGATGCGCTTGCGGATGCGCTTGCGGAACTTATAAGGACACTCAAGCGAAGCCGTGAGCAGGAGCCTTCACCCCATGCACAAGCAATCACAGACACGGAGAGCTGCGTCGGTGGAAAATGAGACTACGGCCCGGAAGATGGAGGAGCACATCCTTTTCCGGGGCGAGGGCTACCGTAGTGGATTTTAGAAAAAGAAGCGCAAGGAAGACTACCGGACGGTCGTCAAGCGGCTTAGGTGGGCGACCCACGCGAAGCTAGAGCCATAGGTCCTACTCCGTGAAGCCCTGCAGTGCAAGACCGCACAACTTCGCGGCAAGCAGGAGGAAGACATAGCGGCGACACTCTCCGGCGAGCCCTGTCGTTACCTTGATGCCTACTAGTGGGGGTAAGAGCATGATATTCTACGACAACTGGACGGCGGTCATTGAGATCACTTGCTAATTCCTGAACCCATCCAGCGCTGATGGTCTCTCGTTTAGCAAGTGGGAAGTAAATTCACACAAGTCCGTCCAGAACCCGGCACTCAATATCATGGTAGAATTCCATACACTTCCTAGATTTATGGGCGTGAATGCTCACAGAACCCATACTCGCACAGGAAATGGTAATACCGGTGGTGCTTTCGTCAAAAGTAACATGTCTCATGAATTGGGGGTGGGGGCCGCTCTTTGCAAGTGTGTACCAGGTCTGTGGGAGAGATGGAGGGAAGGGGTGGTCCCAATAAGTATCCCACTCAGTATTGCCATCGTCGCGGGCTAAGCTGATGTTCGTGACAATGTGCTAGCACAGTTAGCCATTGAAGTAGATGAGAGTAATAGGTACCTGTGAATTCACATGGAGCTTAAAGGGCTGTGCGGCGCGTCGTATGGTTTTATACCAACGTCCTAAGATCTGGCGTGGTGGACAATACTCAGGGTCAAACTCGATTTCGATGATCCCAACTTCGTCTCGAGTGATTTACGATACAGCGAGGAGCGCGGTTTTCCAAATTCGATTGACTTATTCTTGCGATGTACGATGTCCCAGCTGCAGATTCGTAGGTGGCGGTTCTTTAGGTCTATGCAATTCCCTCCAAGTAGAGTACGTCGGCGGCAACGAGAAGATTCGCTCCTTGGTGCTCAATGATGTGCGCTTCGAACAGTAGAACGCCTACGGGGCTTTCGTTGAGACGTTCCGGAACGTAGAGCGTGACAACACAAAACTTAGTTAAAAGTACTAGGCGATTTCTGCCGGCTGCTTCACCTTCTAGACCTGGAAGAGGTGCCATGGTTGTTTTATTCAATCGGTATCATGGTCTTGCCAGTGTCGGGGTTGATGCTTTATAGCTCGCCCGTCAGCGTCGCCTTCATCGTCACAAAGTGATAGCCGTGAAATACAAGCCTTGAGTCTAGCTTCGCTTTATAGTGGATGTAACGAGCGACAAGCCATCTGTCGTGCCCGATTTCCAGATGGCCTGATGGTTTAGAAGTGGTGTTTCGAACTATTGCTTTTTGTGAGCCAGCCGGCTCTTCAATGTTGGTGTCTGTTGCTGAGCCTTGCCGAGTGGTATATGATGACGACGCTTATGAACCGGATTTTTTTCTTAAGTAACGAGCAAGGTGGTTTTTTGGTCCTTGCCACAATACGTACAAACAGTATTGCGAAGACGAAATAAAGTCAATCGGAAGATAATTCTTCCGCAGAGCCTCCTCGAACACAACTCAATGCCCCGCCACTTTCTCCTTGCATCAAACTTTGACATTATCCGGCGGATGCCACTTCATCATTCATCATCAAACTTGTTTGGATTCACCAAGTTGCGCTGCAACTAGCCTTTAAAAAACTCGCGAAATATTACGTCGCCGCGAAACCCCCGCTATTCCAAGGAAACCTCCAAGGGAACCTTCACTTTTGCAAGGGAACTACATCGACACGATTCTCACTATGCCCCTATATAAGATTTTGTCCGAGACACCGGAACTAGAGAAGCTAGTGTATGAGGCTGCTTCGCAATTACAAGGCAGAACCGAGATACCGATCAAGGAAGAGGGAACATTATTTGAATATCAGTGGACAGATGAATGCTCGAATCTAGTCAGAGAGTTTTCTAAGACTAAAGTATGTACAGAGAAAGCCAACTGCTATCAAGACCACACTACTAATTAGTATCGAAGGTAGGGGACGTTAGGTCTGCGCTGGAAAGAGGCGCAGACGCGAAGATTTCGAAACAAAGACCTGCTGATCCAACCGTTCTTCTCCTTGAAATTGGCTGGCTAGCGACAACGAAGAGCGAAATCGCCGTCCTTATATCTCTCCCAACACCTAAGGATGCGATCAAGAAAGCGAAGCTCCAGGCCCGGAGTGATGTAGCTGGAGACAACAACCGCAGCGAAACAGAATTGCCGCCTGGCTCGATAGTATTGGTTTTTGAATGCGTCTGTTTCCGAATGGTGCCAGCTGAGATCCCATTTGTTGTCATAAAATTTCTCACTTCACCGTTGGAAAGGATAGAATCGGGGGAGCATGGAGGTGGAATATAGATCAAAATGTCTTAGTGCGTCCGCGAAACGTGGGGAACTATTTTGAGAACAACCCGAGGCCTAGATCCTCTAAGTTTTGCCCAGTGCAATTCAAATACTCGTTTAGATATATAGGTGCAACTGGTGAGTAATTGTTCTCGTCGGGTTGCAGGCTGGTCCGGTGCGAACGTTCATCAGGTTCTCCTTCTAGCATTTCGTCAGCCATAAACAACATATCTAAGCTGGACAGGACTCACCGTCTGCCTCGGACACTCTCTGTCTTTTGCGTGGCCATAGAGACCTGATTCTACGTATAGACTGAGTGCTGTTCCACAGAGCATTATACTGTTTGTCAAATGTCTCCTGGCTGAGGTCTGTTTTCAAAGCTTTGTTGATTTGGTCAAGACTATCCCTCAAATTAGGAACGCCCCGCTGAAGAGGGTTCAAACGTACCTGCGTCTTTCGCCAAGTATGATCTTGCTCAGGAATGCCACGTCGAAAGAGATCTCAGCTTGCGGCTCTATCTCAGGCGGCTTGCATACGACAACTTTGTTCGCAAATTCTGCTGATCCTGAGCAATATGTAATGCTCTTGTAGTTGTGAATTGATGGACCACCTGTTCGTTTATTTTAGCCGTTATTCGCAATGACGTCATTAAGGAAGCTATACAGATGACGAATATCTCCCAGGCTCGGTGCATCAGCCCTTTCTGATACAACTCCTTCGTTTGTTGAACCGGCCATAATGCAGCAGTTCGAAGCCGCGATAAATATTTCGAATCTGCTTCACATTTCCGTTGGAGCACCTTTAAGACTTTCTTCATATGACTATCCGCAGCCTCTAGCGTAGCTCCAGTCGCGAGGTCAATACTAACAAGGTTTACGAATAGCACTGTACTGTAATTGGATATCTGTATTGCGTGGTTTCTCCTTCCATTCAGTGCGATTGAGAATTGGCCGTAGTCTTGGAGAACGTCGCTAATGCTTGCTCCATCTTCTGGTTTATCACCAGTACGCAAAGGGCATGATTGTGAAGAAAGACGCGTGAGAAGGCAGAACGCGTCAACAAGGTCTTCTGGCTCGCTAAGACAAACAAGTTGTCTTCTGGCCGACCATTCATTTTCGTCCTTCGGTATCAGACTCAACAACTTAGATAACTCAGATGGCTCGCTGGTTGGCTCGCTGGCTGGCTCGCTGGTTGGCTCGCTGGTTGGCTTCCTGGGTGGCTTCCTGGGTGGTTTGCTAGACTGTTCGCCTGGAGTTTCAATCCGGAATTTCCATTTTTCAGACGATGGCTGCGTGGGTGATGGCTGGCATTGGACGGGCGCGGAGCGTTGGTCCAGTTGCTGGTGCAAATTTTGTACTTGGATTTGTAACTGAAGGACTTGTGTTCGTAATTGGTAAACGAGTTGTTCCAAATAGTGTGAGTATTCTACAACAGTTCCACTGTAGCCATTAATACGTTGTGGTTTGGCCATCTCTGAAGGCGATGAAAAAAGGTGAAGTTGGAAAAATTCCCATGCTGCGTTTGCCCACATTTGGGGGCACCCTCGAGGGTGCCCCCAGATGCGGCATAGTGCTAGTACCCCAAAACCGGGACGGTGCCCCGGTTCACCGATCTACAGAACCACGGCGGGCAGATTCACATGCGACATGGGATAGCATATATGTTCAGCCTTCGCTCCCGTCTTTACGCCCTGCTTTGTTGCTGCTCTTTTCGCTTGCCTTGTTTGCCTTCCCTTCGTCCCGTTACCATCCTCCCGGCTCCCATTTCAGGATGCATCACCTGCCTCCCACACCTCCTCCTTCTCCTGCGCCTACCTGCAAGACCGAACAGGATGCCCAAAGCTCGGACCGCCTGAAAGCTTGCAGCAATTCTTCCCTCCAGGTATGCCCTTCTATTGGTATGCCTTTCCTCATCTCACCATTTGCGCAGCTGCTGGTTTCTGAAATCTTTCAAGTCGGAAACGTCATATTGGTTAATGTCCTGGTGCATGTGCACCTCATGAAAACGCCCCTCAACTCCACATCGACGTACTATTTCGAAGAACTCGAGCGGCACGAGTTTCAACTTCACCGTGCCAAGAGGACGTTCCCGCTTCTGCTCACGGGGCTTTACGATTGTGTTGAAGCTTTCTCCTATCAGTTGCAGCGAGGCGTCCAATTAAAGGACTCTGAGGATCGTAAAATCTTGTTCCGCGCGGAAGAACCCGATTGCGCTTTTGGTGCCATGGAATCAGGCAATGTGGCTTTTGGGATTCCTTGCCCCTGCAAGCGCCAGGGGACTAGAGCTTGTTCGACGTTTGACAGCTATCGCAGAAGTCCCCAGCAGCCCCGCGTTTCTTGAGGTTTCAGGCCGTTTATCAACATAGATTCCTTCTACATGTACTCAAAGATCCAGATAGTGTTGTGTGTTCTAGTACTATACATACTCTTCGTCCTCTGCCAAGCATTTACAGCAGCCCTCCGATCATGATTATGCTCTAAGAGGTGAATGCTGTCTTGGAATAGGTGAAATATGCTAAGATGGACGACACAAAGCGGCATCGCTTCACCAAGAACTGCATCAGCTGGCTACAAACCAGGCGGACCGGTAATGTCCCCCGATGGTTCGATGGAGCAAGCCGTCCTCCCTTTCGAACATCGGACGTGCGGCTAATACTTTCCCATAATTCACGATGCGTTTCGTTCCCAAGCGAGGAGCAGCTGCTTTAAGAGCAGCCCCCAGCTTTGTTCCCTCCCCAACTCCCCGCTCCTGCAGATACAGAATACTGAAGGCAATCACCTGCACGACAAAAATCCATACTACCGTTGAGGACACTACCTCAGGGTACTAGTTTCACTATGACTGAACCTGAAGTTAAGAAGGTACGTATTATTGCTAGTTGATGATACCTTTGCTAACAAAAAATAAAAAGACTACTCGGCAAGGGCGCACCTCTATATCAGGAACCCCCTTCGTTCAGTTCGCAGCTCTGACAACCTTGAAAGCCCTGGTAGCATCGCGAGTTACCTGTGCTATACCAGAGGAAGACCTGAATCAATGGTTAGATGAGTGGGATGGGGATACAAAGCACAGGCTGGCTTTGGTTACATGGCACTTTGACTCTCGAATGCACCCCCCATGCACAGAGGAACTGATCCAGTTGGTTTCCGCGGCACATGACGATCCTCAAAGCGTGAAAAAGATCACCACGACAATATATAAGCGGTCTAGGTACTTTCCGCACGAGGACAACACGCACGAGGAAACGCATGAAGTCTTCGTCTCTACCCTACAAAATATTTTGGTAAGTTATATGACATTGAAATTTCGTGCAGTCTAACAAGAGCCAGGAAATGTGCAGAAAACGCATCATTGATCACCCTCTTGTGGCCCGGATGAAGACTGATCAGGAGCGAGAAGGAGTTGAGCTTGGAAACTTGATTAGAGGATTGATGCAGTGAAATATAGACATACAATGGCAGGCATGTCACTGGGATGGTCCGCGGTGGGTACGTATTACGTCAGGTCGTCAGGTCGTCAGGTGGCTATCTAAGCGGGGTTCGCCTCACTTCTTCTTCTACTCTTTGCTTTGTCTGCGCCACACATCATATGGTGACTGAAAATCTTCATCCACAACGACAGCGCTTTGTCCCACTCTGTGCCTTTTCGTCTTGCAAGGTCTTCTACGATCACACGCCTCGTTACTCAACCCTCCTCAATCCGCCCCCAAAACCGTGCAACCAAGCGATCGCTCAGAAACCCGGGCGACATTTACGCAAGGTTACCGCATGAACCCGCTCTCCTGCCTCTCAGCTCTCAGTCTAGCTAACCACTTTCCACATGTGAAGCGCTGCCAGCGTCCTCGATCGAGCCTGCCCAAGTAGAAGTCGGTGACGAAGGCCGCTCGTACTCCTAAGTACTTTCACACGACCTTGTTGAGACCGATCAGCCGTCATCGCCCGCAGACCGACTAGCCGAACCCTCTCGGCCTAATGTCTCCCAACATCCCTCCAGACACCGAGCAGGTCTCGCCGCCGGCTTCGCCCATATAGGCAAACAGCAAGCACCTGAGGGACTGTACTCGAACAACAAGTGCCGACGAGATTAGTGAATCATCGGTTAGATAAAGGCTTGCTGGACAACTATAGAAACGGCAGATGGCAAAATGTCGATTTCAAACGTGTGATCACTGATGAACACATGCGAATCGCCGTTGCAGTCTTGGCCATGAACAACCGTACACAAGCGACCGGAAGAAATCTTTCGAGCGTAGCAACTCGCGCGACTCACCTCGCGCGACCATTCACCACGAGATTGCCAAAGCGGGTTTATGTGCTCGTGAACCGCTCCAGACCTAGTGGAAAGCGTGTGAGCAGGCGAAGCCTTCATACCCTCACCGCTCTGCCAATGAACAGTCTCACCAACGTCCCGCAAAGGAACGCGCGCCTTATCTTCGCGACCCGTCTGACCGAAGCATCGTCTTATCAGCAAGCTGTCATCGGTATAACCTACCCCGAATACGACTGCGTGAGAGGCGCCGTTCCTGATCCCGATCCCTCCGAAGACGATGATGAGTTTCCGTCTCGCCGCCCTTCAACCCCTTTTCCGGCCCACAGCCAGCAGCCGAACTGTTGGACCGGTGTGCAGGCGCTTAGCCGTCTACTCCGCTATGGGAAAAAAAGCGTATACCTGATATAGAGAATAAGGGAGTCAATGAAGATGGAGAGGAGCCACCGTTTAAAACAGGAGTTTGCTACTGATGTCGCAAATCAGCTCGCCTAAGTCCATATCAACACCGACTCCAGCCAAGGCGACCAGAACTATTTCGCTATCCTGAACACCGTGCCCGGTGGCTTCATAGATCACGCGGCTGAATGCCGCGGACTCGCGATCATTATGGGTCAACTTCAGCAAAAGAGGGGCTTCTCAGCGCAGAGGATATATTCGTTTTAACGCCATAATCGATCTTTTCTACTCGCGCAGTCGAATCTTCGATAGCGCGTGATCGTCCTAGCAGCTTCGTATTCTTGAATCTCTACGTGATTGGCGATAGCGGACAAGTACTCCTTGCCAACGACTATAAGAGTACACAACAACCCTAGCATTACCCCTGCTCGTGGATGATGCGCAGCAGCGGTCGCGAATCTGGATCTGGTGCGAGGCAGCGGAGTTTGGCAGAAGCTCACGGGTGGTGTGGGCATATCGATTATTTATGAATAGCAGCGCGAATATAGCTCGGGTAGAGGGTAGCGAGAGCAGGGTGACGATAATTGCAGAAAAAGAGTAACTACCGAACCTCCATGCACACACAATTGCAAGTCCAGCGCTGGGTACCTGATGGCAGGTGCCGAGAGTAAATGAGCAATCAACTCTTCTGCCGCAACGGCTGCGTTTCACCTATGATGGATACGGGTAGCCAAATTCTCATTCAAATAAGAAGCTGGCCCACGATTCGCATTTGCAATTATTCAACTCTTTACACACCGCCAGAGATGTGTGATTACACCCAGGTTCACTACAAATGCTCTCATATCCGATATACAGTGAGAGCATGGTGCATAAAATACCAGGAGACACATAAGAGATGCCCAGCAAATGTAGTTGCCATGTAAGAGCAAATACCCAGCGCATTTTCGTATAGCTAACACTTTCTCTAGAGAATACCGGCTCGACCAGAACTGCGGTCCGTTTCAATCGTCCAAATAGTAACTCAAGTAAACTAACATAAGAATTCCTTGAAGGCGACTGCAAAGACGCAGCCTCAAAGTCAAAGGCATCAACAGGCAGACCTACAATAATCACTTCTCGTTCAAGAATCTCCATGTGACTGGCAGTAGCAGATCTAGATCTGGTGCGAGGCAGCGGGGCGGTTGATAGAAGCTCACGAAGTTCATGACTCTCACGGGTGGTGTTGGCATATAGATGTTTTATGGATAATGGCGGATTCTCTTTTTATGGTCTTCTAGCTCCACGACTGCCTTCTCTCCTCTCTTTCTCTTCAATTATGTTGAGCACACCCGAACCAATGTATTGCCTTAGGACTGCCTTGCACCACTGTTCCTACCCTAGTCTTTTTGGTGAATGGCTCGAGGGTGCGTAGCGCGAACATAGCTCGGTGGCGAGAAGGAGAGGTGCAAAGGTAATTCTAGGAATTCCACCAAACCCTGATACGCATATTCTACCGGATCCCCATGTATGTCCATCGCGATTCCCTTTTCCAACCAGAGAGGCGCCGGCCTAGGACTGATCCGACGTTTACCTGCGGACAATCTACCACTCACAGCATGCCAATTTCTGCTAAAACAAACCAAGGGAGGTAACGCAAGCCTCATTTCTGCGATGCTTGAAAATAGCGCCAATCGGAGGCTTCCCCAGAATCCACCAGTTGAAGCCATCCTACTAATACAGATACCTTGGAGCAAGGTGCGGCACAGCGAGCTAATGCTTTCAGTGATATATGGATCTTGTTACTGCCTTGTGGCTCCCCATCAACCACTCCCACCGCTTTCACTCCTTGCCCATAGTTAGCAGTCTGCTGACGAATTATGACGGAGAAAAGGCACAAGCTGGTGGTGCTCGGGGACGGTGGCGTCGGAAAGACAGCTTTAACGCTCCGAGTGAGTCCTCTTACCTTTCAGATGTCACTGTCTAACTTTAGCTCCAGCTTCGCTTCAGCCATTTTGTTGAAACCTACGACCCTACTATCAAGGACTTATATCTTAAGCACGCACAAATCGACGAACAGGTATGCCTGCTGGACATACTCGATACTGCAGGCCAGGAAGAATACTTTGCGTTGCAAGACCAGTGGATACGTGGCGGAGAAGGATTTCTGCTGGTTTATAGTATCTCGTCAAGGTCCTCCTTTACCCGCATTCGAGATTTCCACTGCCAGATTCAAATGGTCAAGGAATCCACGATCTCCGGTTCACCGCTAAGTGCGCCGGTCATGCTGGTGGCCAATAAATGTGACAGGGTGCTTGAGCGAGAAATATCTACGCAGGAAGGCAGCGCACTTGCACACGAATTAGGATGCGGTTTTGTCGAGACGTCTGTGAAGACAGGCGTTAATGTCGACAAGGCCTTCTACGACGTCGTCCGGCAGCTGAGGTTGCAAAAACAGCAGCCTGACAATCATGAGAGTTACGAGGGTCAGGATGATGGTGGATCTGAGCGCCACCCTAAATGTGGAATACTCTAAACGCTAGGTACCTGAGGATACATCGGCTGTAGGTGGCGGGAGGAAGCACACCTCTGATGCATAAAACATTATCTGTTTGCGAGTATGAGACGGATTGGTCAAGATAAACTATATAATAAATTTACGCGGCCACATTACTCTACCATTAGTGCGATCATCGGGGTCCGACCCGATTACTCAACCTAACACGCCTACTTGGTTTTCTTTTTACGCCATAAGCAGCGGAGTGCCATGAACTACTATTCGTTTATAATCTGGTATGAGTACTCGAGATCCCCACATCGTCGCTACCCTGCTTGTCCTCACTACTCTATTTCAGAAGCATCAAGGTACCCCACAACTGCGACGTCAATTCCCTCCAACACCACTCCGTGAAGCGTACGTGAGCGCCATTTGAATTTTAGCTAGCGACTAGCCCCGTCACCTCGCCCGTCACCAACTCTCGGAAGTGCGCACAGTATTCGCAAGAGACAATGGTAAGCAAAAATGATGACTTTGGGTATGATGGCAGGCTAAGATAGGTGCTTCAAAGTCAGGAGTCGGGTCACCACAAGCACCTCCCCCCGAGACAATCCAATTGAAAGATTATCTCGTGGAAGGTGATGCTATACACATAGTGACTATGGAGGAGCTTGGATATACTCCTATCATGGGCACATCGCGTGCTGCATACGTTGCTTTCTCTTTAGTTGACTCGGTGGGCAGCCCAAAGTTGAGAGAGATAACAGATAGCGAAGGAATGATTCCTAGGTAACACTGCGACGGTTTTTAGACGACTTCTTTCTAACCAGGCATAGGAAACTATGGACACAATTAAGCTCACGCTTCTCCCGCTTCGCTGGAATCGACATTGTACCTGCAATGTACGAGGAGTCTCAGATGAGGGTTGATAAGCCATCTGAAGGACATAACCCGGCTGGATGGCATAAGGACAGCTACCCATATACCTGTGGGATCATGCTGAGTGACACAGAGGGAGTAAAAGGGGGGGAAATGGTTCTGAGAAGATATCATGGCAATACAAGGATAATAGAACTCTTAGCAATGGTGAGTCTCTTCGAGTGTACTCAAGCCTCACTTACATCTTTTGCTAGGGAACAGCATTCGTGCTCCAAGGCTACCACGTTCCACACAAGAGAATGCCGTTTTTCGGTGCCGATAAAATATTCACGGCAATAGCCCCGTTTCGGCCTCGTTCATCCTTTGAAGTCGATGAAACCTACCTTGGAACATGCCAGCCAATGTTCAATACCACGCCTTATACTAGTCTTATCAAGTACCGACTTGATATGATTTGTGATATCGGTGAACGGAACTTAGAACACTCTCCAGCCGACGCTGCAAAGAAGATTCTATTGCTTCTGAAGCGAACTTTCACCGAAATATGGAATAACAATGATGACTTCTCGAATCCAATCCAACTACTAGGAAATGTAGTAAACGCAGCGAAAAGGCAGGCAAAATTTCTTGAAGACAGGCTCGTTAAAAAGCGAGGACCTGTGAAAAAGGAAGCCATGATTGCGTTTCTAGCCGAAGCAATATGCATTGTAAAGCGCGCAACAGATACTCTCGGGATACAGAGGCTTGGCGTTTATCAGAAAAAGGAAAGTAGGGTTGGAAGGGAGCACCTTGTTCGTCTTGCGACTCCTAGAGACCTTAACAGACTCGCTTTTGTCCTTATGACTGGTTTCTCTTTCTCACCAGTCAACCAGTATCTGCGGCCGAAATATTCAGATCACCCTGGAGATACCTACTATGACTACCTCCTCCAGATAGTGGGCCACTTCCTTAACCCTACCACTTGGATTTACGTTTCAGAAGATTCCTATGCTCCCGAGGAGGAGAAACATATTCCTGAGGCCTTTCCAAAAGACTTCTTGTGTCTAGCGACTGGCGATAAGGTTATCGCTGGTGTCGCCATCTGCAGCGGTCTTGAGCACCGGAATATAGAAAAGAAGGAGCGAGGTATGTTGCTTCTATTAGTTAGAAACTCTGATCCTGATGGTTACGGCAGAATTCTTGGAGATAATCAAGGACAACACTAAAAGTCAAGCTCGGGACAAGAACCTACTTGCGGAAGCATCCTATACCAAGCAAACTAGGGCCGAAAAAGAAAAGTATAAAGCACCTTGCAAGGGAATACACGGTTACTAACACGCATAGGATATTTGAGGGATGTAGTACAAAGGTCGAAGTTTTGGTTGTGCAACCTAGCTATTTTGATCGCGGTCATGGAAAAGCACTTGCCTCTGCATGCACAGAAGCAGCGGATATAAACAAGAGCAAAGCTTGCGTATCTGCTACCAAGAACAGCAAAAAGATATTCAAGGATTTGGGATTCGAGTTTGAGGAGTTAGAGGTGACATGCAAGTCTCCATTCTCAATATTCCTCGGAAAACGCTAGCTCACTTTTAGCTGCGAGGAAAGTGGAATCGGCGATGATGGATGAGACTTGATATGGCATGTACTGTACACTGGGGTGGTTTCGAGGTAGCGAAGCTAAGCGAGAAGCTTAGCACCTCCTCACTTCTTCTACTCAGAGATTGCCTACTTACCTACTCTTGTACACTCTCTTAACCTGCTTGCTTTGTTTTGCCTACTCTGCTGCGCTGCAAATGGTACAAATTTTTTCTCGCTTCCTCGATCTGCTGCAGTACACGATTGAGCTCCGTTAGTTACCACAACGTCTGCGCTTTGTCAGAACCCGCTGTGCCTTTTCACCTCGCACGATCTTCCTACAACCGCACGCCTCGTCACCCAGCCCTCGATCTGCACTAAAACCGCCTCGAAGGCCAACCTCTCCCTTCTCTCGCTTCTAATCACTACACATCCTTGTTGAACCTGATCCTGTAAAGCTGATAAGCCTCCCCTTTCCCATCGTTACGGTCCGCAGACCGACCGGCCAATTCCTTTCAACCCAATGTCTCCCGACATACCCATTCCGTCCATCCAGACAAACGACAAAGAGCTGTGGTTGAACAAGGAGCGCAGGGTAGATGGATCGTCGGTCGGATAAAGGCTTGCTGAACACATGCGAATCGCCGCTGCAGTCTCGGCCATAAACTAGACGGAAGAAGTCTTTCGAGCTTGGCAACTCGCACGACCATTTAACTCGTCCGAGGCTGAACGGCTCCAGACCTAATGGAGAGCATTTGAGCAGGCGAAGCCTTTACGCCCCCACCGCTCCGCCGATGAGCATTCTCGCCACCCTAAACCACTTTGCGGCCCGCCGAACCGTCGGATCGGTGTGCAAGCACTTAGCAACGCCGACGACTAGACACAGGAGTACGATGTACGCAACAAGCCTGACGTTGCTTTACAAGACCTCACCTCACCTACATCAAATTTTGAGGGTGAACCGCAGGTTGATTGAAAAGTTTTTGAAGTCTGTGGATCTGAAACGAAGGCGATGATTTGAACGCTGATACAGCAATAACAGCTGCCCGATATACGTCCTTGTGCGTTAGCTCCCGAATCTCCATTGCGTAGCAATCCCTCGTGAGCTTCCTGCGTGCAGGAAAGCTATTGCAGCATGGGGCGAAGTCAAAAAAAGCGAACACTGCTATTGGAGAGTTGTGAGCATTCTTTTTGGGAATACTTGTGATTTCTAGAAATAAAAGTTAAGCCTTCTCCACTACCGAAGGCTGGCTTAGCCACACGAATCGAGAGACAAAGATTTGAATACAGAGACATCATATATCAACTAAATAGAGATGCTGAAGGAAGAGTAAGAGATCAGCCCGAAAGTCGTGAATACCTACTAAAGGGACTAGGAGATTCCGTAACTGTAGGCTCAAGCTTCAAACATTCGCGGTCCATAGCTTATACCAAAGGCAAGGATGTGGCAAGATTATTCTCAAGGAGGTGAAGCGCCTCGCGGACGAGCCAGGTGAAATGGTTGGAGTGTCTGCAACTCCAAACAGTATGCCTGCTCTCAGAGATTATGGGAATTTTCAGTTCACGTATTTTAACGTCAAGATAGGACCGAATGAATTCCAAATTGGACTTGGGATTTACCCTTAATTCCGAGCTACCATGTCGTAAGAATAGAGGGTCATAGCATTCGGATGCGTCGCAGCACGACGGAAAGTGGCGAGAAAGAGGCAATTCTCGACGTATTACTGCCATTGCCAGAAGAAGCCGAGCAGCCAGCGGTGGTGAGGGACAATGGGAACGTTATAATGGAGAATTTGCCGAGTCATCGTGACATGGTTCGTACTCTTCTCGCTGCTAATGTCTTGAGGCTACAGATGTCGCCGCTTGATGCGTTAGTGGAACGTACAGGGGTCCCCAAACGGTGCCTCGAAGCGCTCTACCGAATTTGAGTTGCATACTGCACTGACCTTAACCCTTGACCCCTCCGCCCTTCCCCGACTGGCCATCTTGCCATGCAGCTCTCATGGCACCACTATAAACGTTGCCTTCTGCAAGTCTGCTTTCCCGCGCAGTCAGGCTATGCTAACTCCGGCTATGACCTGGTATGTTTCCGTCGCTACGCCCCGTCCAGGATTAAAGCAAGTATGCACCTTCAGCGGTCGAATCGGATTGGTGAGCGCTTTGGGGGAGCCGAAGCCACCCTTCCTCCTTGGCAGTCCCTGTTTGCTGACCCAGACTGTTTGCTGACCCAGACGTAGCGTTCTGCACGGCACTTCTCTCAGTTGTCTTTCTACATATCCTTCCATTCTCAACCTCCTTGCCATCAGACGGACGTGGGCCATCGAAACAGGACATCCGACGACGTTAACTGCCCTTGCCATCGCCGCTCCCGCGCTACAAGGCTGAGGCTGAAGCTCTAAACTGTTGCAAGTATGCTACCTCCCTTGCCCACCCCGCTAGCGCATTCTCTCGTGCCATACCTCTTTCTTCTCCCTGTCACGCTTTTGGTTGCTGTTCGTTTTATTTCATGTTTCCTGTTTCATTTTTTATCACTTAGAGCCTCTAGGCCTGCCCTCGCTGTCCTTCTGCTAAGCGCAATTCTAATGCAGGCTAGGTAATCCATCTAACGCCATCTAACGCTGCGCCGAATTCGCATTCGTTTTATCTACTGTGCGACTTTACAACTTTGCGACATTAACTTGGCACTCCTCTTCTCACACCCAGAGGCTAGGCTCGCCTTCCAGCACGCCAGCAAATGTCCGATTACAATTCTGACGACGCTTTTCCACGTTCCCCTGGCCTCAAACCCGTACGTCCCAGGGCTACTCCCTCACCCTCGCCGCCGCCGTTCATCCCGCAGCAAAATCACACAACATCGTCCAATGGACGTAAGACGAAACCGAGCCAAGGAGACACAGTCTTGGCGAGTTTCATGGACCCAAACCAGCCGGAATTAGCCCGGCTGGTCGGTGAACAAGCCCTTAATTCGGATTCTGGCTCAGAGGCCGATGAGGAGGACATCGTGGACCACTCGCCTCCAGCTAGTTCTGCCCATCAGACAGCCAGTCCTCCGGGTTTTGACTTGGCTGGCACCGCTCAGGCTGCGCAAACTGCCAATTCGGGAGGGCCGAAAGATACCACATCCCCGCTGCGGCGTGGATCCGTGCAAAGCGACTCCGGGGGGTTTGTTGAGCCCCCATGTCCTAAGTCGAAATTAGTAAATGCGGCATCGTCAAAGTTTTCATCTGCAAATGGTAGCCAAGCAAATAGGGCTGGCTCAGCCCTGATTTAGTGAAGCAGTTACCAGGATTAAAGCACTCCTTCGCGAAACCGTGCAGGAAGAGGTTTCCAGCTTTGCTCTAGGCGTAGTTTTAGATCTAGCTCCGCTATACCTCTTTCTTATAGCTGTCACGCTTTTCTTGCTCTCGCTGTTGCTAGTACTGTCGCTGCGGGCTTCTACGGTGGCGCACGTCGTCCTGACTGCCGTCATTATGGGGGCAATTGGAAAGACATTGTGGGTGGCTCTATGGCGGCACGGGTATCGGTAATGCGGTCTTGGGAGCATCGCTCTGGAGGTCGTTCGTGTCTGGCCGGCTAGGGAATCAAGGGGCGGCTGGGTGCTCGCTCGTTGGCGATGAGGAGAGGAATCGGACCCCGTGGATTCTGGCCTAGTCTTGTGTAACAAAGGAGAGGTTTAAAAGAATGGATGCCGCAACTCATCAGAGCCCTTGACATTGCGACTTGATACGCCGAATTGCCTGGGTGATGCACTAAGGACGACCGCTACGCAGGTGCATTTATGTTTGAAGAGAATAAAGTGGAAAGTAGGCGAATGCAGACTAAGGATATCGGCAGCGGAATTGGTAGCCGTTGAGGGACGCGACAACTGAGGGCGTGGAGACTCAAGGTGAACGTTGTGGAATATTACTTCATGTGGCAATTTTCCACGTCCGTGCCTCGAGTATTAGTAAGCGCTGAGCGCTGGGTTGAAAATTTCCACATGAAGCAACTTTCCACACCACTCCTCATCAGGTTTGAATTATGCCTCCTGCTAAACGAAGCGAAGCCGAAAAACGAGAACGAAAGACCGCCCAGCAGCGTGCCTACCGAAAGACTGCCCAGGAGCGTGTTCACCAAAATAAAAAAGTGGATATATTTCGTTACATCTTGCCGAATGCAATTCGCAAGACCGCTGTACGGAAGAATATCACGCACGACAAAGTACAAGACTACCACTTTCGAGACCAGGCTTTGCAACAGCTTCGACAATTGCTTAATAGCTCTCGTGATACGTGGGGTCTGTTCACAGCCTCCACTGTTCAAGGAATCCTCAATATCGCTGTCGCCCCAACTACAAATCTGGACCCCAGAGTCTCAATTGATCAGGCCCAGGCTCTATTCCTAACGACGATTCGGGCAAGCGAGGTTCTAAGATCTCACCCCGCTATAAAAGTCCCAATCTTCGGGCTGGGACAACAAGACTTCTCCTGGTCCGCACGGTCGCGGCCAATCTCTCAGCTCCTTGCCAAATACTCCGTGGATGATGTAGTAGATGTTAATATTGCTTCGCTTTCCAGAACCGGCGTTAGTTATAGTCGTAAGACTATAGGGGAGGTCCAGTCTCGCTTCAAGGGAAATAAAGACCATAACGACGGCTGGAACGTCCTGGATTTAAAAAACCCACTTCCAAACACTTACGGCATCTGCCCAAAGTTTCTTCAGAATGATAACTGCGACCTGCTTAATAGGATCAAAACAGCCGTTCTGAATCCGGGATGGGCAGGCCGGATCATCACCAAATCTAAGCAAAAGAACGAGTTTCGAGAAGTGGAAGGGTGGATCCTCCTTGCGGAACCTGGAGCCTACACGGGTCCTCACATGGACGCCTACGCCACCGAGACTTTTATTAATTGCAATGAAGGGGAGATTGGAATCGGATGGTTAGATCGCCCAACCGACGAACAACTAGAGTCCTGGGCGAAAGATCCGTCCAGTTATCGAGGGGGAACTTGGTGCTTTGCTGTGCTTCGCGCTGGAATGACAGTATGGTTTCCGGCTGGCTTTGTCCACTCTGTCTTCCGCCTTTCTGGTGATGGTAGGCAGACTATGGGCATCGGAGGGCACATTCTTCGCTGCTTCGCTATTGCACGGTGGGCAAAGATATTGGCCCTGCAATTAGCATATCCAAACTCTACAAATGAGAAGGTAACAAAAACGGCTTTCACGTATCTCCTGGTTGTGCTACGCCTCGTGAGGGATGCAGGAGCTCAAGGGAGGCTCGAGGAGTTCGGCGGGGAGAAAAATGTGGCAGAGTTTCGACAGAATGCGCAGGTATGTTCGTCGGTATAGTAAGAATGCAACATTTACTAACTGGATTAGGATTGTCACGATATTCTTAAGAGAAAATATCCTAGAATGAATTTAGAACAGCTACAGAAGGCCCTTGGGTGCCTACATGCGAGAGTTGAAGGCGATGGCTTATCGCTTTTATAAGCTATTCTATTGCGGTTCTATAGAGGACAGAGTCACTGGCGAGAAAGCAACTTAATTTACAGCCCTCTGGCTTGATTGATTGGCTGAAAGTGAGGCTCGAGTTGAGTTGAGTTGCTTATGGGCCTTTTTCAGACAGATTGCTTGTTCGTTGCTTGCTTGCTTGTTAAAATGCCAAGAGGTGTCCAGAATTGCGATTGCTATACTTTTTAAGCTGCATATGCGAAGGGGAGGCCACTAGTCGTGAAGAAGTTCCGAGCTAAAATGCGTGCACAATTGAAAAAGTCGTGATCCTCGGCATAGTGGAGAGGTTCCGACTCGTCTAGCCTATTGTGTTTAGCAGGTCACCTCGCTTTAGAAATTCGGGAGGTGTAAGAAATCTATGTTTTTATTGTATTGGCTGATAGAGTGAGGTAAGGGAAAGAGTGGAGATGGAGTCTGTTGAACTGTCAGGCCGAGCTTCAGCCAATTTGGACATCCCAGTTAGTGCCAGCGTATCATAGAGAACAACATGGGCTGCTCTCAAGGGTGCAGTGGAGCTGGAGCAGTAGAAATGCGGGATGTACAAGAGCTGTTGATTCCTGCGTATTGCTGTGCCGTAATCCTGCGCGTGGCTACTGGGCCCGTGCCCATGTCAGATGGCTCTGCCAAGCCCATTTGCGAGAGCTCAGCTCCCGCAACTGCCCTCTGCGCTTGCGTTCCCTGATGGCACACCCTCATTCTCCCCTCCCTTCTGCCCACCATGGACGATTCTGTGTTTATGCTCATAAGAGATGCTACAGGCTTCATGGAGTATCTCATCAAGGAGGCGTGGCGTATTCCAGCGGTTGGTGGCGAACCTCGTCGTTCTCGCCGGCATTCCAACTCTGCTCGAGCTCAAGAGAAAGAGATGTCCCAGGCGGATCTTGAACAGTTCTTTGAAAAGATAACCTCAACCACAGAGAACCTGAAAGCTCGATACTTCAAATTGAAGAGCCAAGCCAGCGCAGATTCAAACCACGTCGAGAACAGCCTTGATGACGCCCATCCCACCGAGGATACCAATAGCGAGGACAACGCTCTTCGGCTGGACAACACTCATCTCAGCGACAATCATGCTAAGAAAACCCATTCTGAGGATAACTCTTTCAGCAATGCTCATCTCACCGAGGACACCTAGAGCGAGGACGCTCTCGACAATACTCATCTCACGAAGGACACTCAGAGCGAGGTCCCTCTCAGCGATACTCATCTCGACAATGAATATCGCGGCCGCAAGGATGGTATTTGCCCGCAAGGTTTCATTAGACCTGAGATGATGCAAGCACGAGAGGAAGGTGAAGAGCAGACTGAGCAAGTCTCACCTTCGCCGTCGATTTCGCCTTCATCTTTGCCTTCGCCTTCGACTTCGCCGTTGACATCGACTTCGCCTTCGCCCTTAACCTCGATTTCGAAGACCAGCTCTCAAAAGACGGGTCAGAAAAGACGAAATGAAAATGATTCCGCGGGAAGCAAAAAGCCAAAAATCGGCGGGCAAACCATCTACCATATGCCTCGTCTCCACGGTGTTAATCATAATCAACTTGAAGAAACCCTTGCCGCATTATTAGTCGCTCATCCCGCGAAAAATACTAATCAGTCTGATCTCGTCCGAATCTTCTATGCTATCGCTAGCCCGGATGCTCTATATCAACTGAAAGACGTATGCATTGCTGCGAGAAGACAGAATCGTGCTCTTCCTCGGGACACTACGTCCATCGCTCACACAATTCAAGCCTTGGATGGTTGCGACACGCTCATTTCCTCTCAATCTATACTGCGCCGGTACTATCTATCTCGGCTTGCAAGTCATCGAAACAAACTACTAGACCAACACGACGGCAAGCTCGGGTCGACTCGTTCCTCCACACGCAAAAATGTTAAAAAATATTCCGATCGGTGTGAAACAATTGTTTTAGAGAAAATTGTTGCTGAAGGCTATCCTCTGGTGTCAAAGAAGTCCAACTCATACACAAGAAAAAAGAGCTCCTTACAGTTTAAGCTGAAATGCGGGCGGAGATGGCTTGAAATAGAGGAGAACTTTGGCGCTGGTATCTTTCCTCTTATACCTATTGGTGGGCATTATCATATAACACAAAATGAGTAAGTGCGTTCTTGAAGAAGAGCACTTCGTCAACTAACAGCTCCTTAGTATTGAAAAAATACCAACCGGTCTGTTCTCCGCTTTTCTCCAAGTTCTAGACCAGTTGCGCGGAGATTTCCTTCGGCAGATTAGCGAATCTGTTGCTCCAAACATCTACCGTATTTCTCAATCATGAGATGTGTGAACACGTGTATAGATTTGAGAGGATGATGGGTAGGGATTTGATTGTGTTTCATATCTCAAACATCACGCTTTAAATACTCACGGGGTTTTACTACGCGCCCAACCCTTTTATAGATCTCTATTTATATAGTACGCTCTCTGCTTAAAGGTTCCCTCCATATCACTACTGCAATGAAAAGTTTCTCTCACAGATTATGGCACGTCTTGTTGATTATCCAGATTCTGACTCAGATACTACTGCACCTTCACCTACCAACAGCGAAGCGAACCAAGCGGCCAATACCACAGGACCAAAGGGACTAAATCTTCAACGCCGGATCCAGAGGAATCGATACGAGTCATTTCGAAAACGGAAGAAGACTGTGCTCAAAAATGCTAAAAAGCTATATACCCGGGACAACGCAGAAGTATTACTCGTTATACGCTATGCTAGAAAGTGTGAGATTTACGAGTCCCCCAATTGGCGTCCTTCAACGCTTGAACAGCTGGTATGTGGTCGGTTGTGGATATATACCGTGATCTAATTCATCTAGGATCAAATGTATCCTCCTCCGATTAAGTTCGGAAGCCACGTAGTATAGGATATCAAATACTATTCTGCTTTACATGCTTAAAGATTGAATTATTATATGTCCTAGTTACTCTGTGAAATGTGCTTGCAGCATGGATGGCCGCGAAGTAAGAGCGCTATATCCTACGTATTTATTGTACGGAATCGCAAATCCCACTACAGTTAGACGATGATGGCCGCGAAGTGCACTGGCTTATGCTAATTTCTTCTCTTATATACTTAAATCACTTAGAGGAATAGTTATGAAGGAGTTGAAGGGATTAAATGGTATTCAGTGCTCGATTTATCTGTTGTTCGCCTAATTCATCGAAACGTTGCATCGAATGATAGTATTAACAAGGTTTTGCAGACCAAGGCTGCCCAGATCACAATCCAAATCCACAAACGTGTTCTCTGTAGTCAAAAACCCGAAACGGTCGTTGCCGTCTGCCATGAAGCAAGACACACCCTGGGGAAATTGCGTAAGCTGTGCACTTGAAACCAAGAATTCGGACTGTCCAGAGGGATTCTTTGTGTCGATAGCCGTATCCGCAAAGGTATCGCGGACCATTTGAGCGCTCCTGTCAGCAGGAATCTGCTTGGCAACGTTGAGGCCAGTCACATCATTGGCAAGCTGAATAGTAACAAGAAGGGGGGGATTATTGATAGGAGCTGGAGCCGGGGCGGCGGAGATCGACGCGATCAAGGCAAAAATGATGGCGGTAGATAATATCATTTTGAAAGATGGCAAAAGGAGTTGGATAGTAGGAGATGTTGGAATAGATGGTGTGTGTTCGGACGGAGATAGTAGAAGATATTGGAATAGGTGGTGTTTGTTTGGATACAGATAGGAGAAGATGTTAGAGTAGCTAGATTGCTTTTCTACGCTGTAGGATGTAACATATATCTTAAACTATTTATAGGTTAGAGTTCTATAAAGATAGATTTCTAGAAATAGGTTCTTACTTTAGGAAAGAACTATTGCTGCATGCGTTCTCACAAATGTGGATACTACTATCCGTAGTGGAATAATCAAATACTGTAATAAGATAATAATAAACTGTTGATATAGCCCTAGAATATATAGAGAGATAACTAGAAGCCTATAATAGAAGAGTATAATATATTCTCGCATAATAAATAACAAGCTTGTGGTATAAAATATAGATTTAGGACTTTATCTTATAGAATCTAATATTTCTATATATATCTCTTACCATAATACGTCTAGACTTCTATAAATGGACCTGGGAAATAATTCACCCTTTCGTGGATCTCAACGCCACACCATGCTAGTCTTTGAAGTAAATCAGCGTGAGCAACTATGTTTAGGAACCTACTACTATGCCAAGAGCATAGTTTCCACACATACGGAAACAGCGGGTACATTTCCCTTAGAAGTCGTTCTTGATCGTAAAGTGGATCCATAAAATCCTCTAAGAGAGGCTTCGGATGGTAAACCATAAATCCTCTTAGCTCGTACCATAATGTGGTACGTATTGACTCGTCTTTATACAAAAAGTACTCTCTATGTTCAAGAGCATTCTTTTCGTTTAAGGCTGGATCAATAGTATCAATGGGCTGTGTGGGCTTGTAATAATCTTGGAAAGATATTACTAGGGATCTGCTATCTCCTAGATGTCTGTGCTGAAGGGGCGAGCTGTGCGCCTTGCGACCCAGATTGTATCCTCGATTGTGATGCTTCTTTTCGAGCTCGTTGTATACTTTCTGTTGTCTCCAGTTTGTAGGCCTCCATATCTCGCCTTGGTTTTGGGTAAGGGTTGAGCGATGGGCATGTATAGCATGTGTGCCGGTCAAAAAGCACTGCGAATGAGTGGAGTAAAACCGAGCGATATGCATAAAGGTGCCGAGACCTTCAAATTGTAGTCCGCCAAAGTTAGTTTCCAATCGAACCAGTCGAAGAGAGTTTCCTACGCGAAGCGTGCCGGTAATAATATTCGTATCGGGTAGCGTTTCTGGACATGGCTCTGGTCGCTCCAATGCTGTCACCACTTCCCATCGGTGAATTCCATGTCGGTCAGACTTTATCTTTATGCTGTCTCTTGAATCGTTTGTTTCTTCTAGAGCGTCGCGTAACAGCGACGCAATCTCATTAGACGATGTCTGCGCAGCTCTAACTGCCTTTATATGCTCCTCGTCCGGCTCCCCAAGGTGGTGGTAGAGGTTCCCATTGAACGGTCCTATAATAGCTTCGAGGCGCTGACTCAGAAGCACGAGCGAATTTTTCAAAGTGCGAGCAATTTCGCGGGAGACAGTAACTTCTCGGCCAGCGTTGAATGTGATGAGTTCAAATAGGCCTTCTGCTAGTGGCTTCCACTGAACTCCATTCTCTTCTAGGATCCTCATCATGGCGCTAATCGAGTCTATGTCGCCCTGACAAAAGAAATTGTAATCAGATTCGTCTTCCTGGGATCCGGGAGAGAAGTATTCGAGGAATCTAGATCCTGCTGCAATGCTACCAGTGTCCGCCATAGTGGCAAAAAGCGCTTCGGCATGAGGAAAATCTTTCCGATAGAATATGAAAGGGTTTTGGCGGTCCTTTATAGATCTTCTCAACGGAGTTAAGTCATCTTCACGATCATATTCAACTGCTTCGAGGGCGTGAACCGATTCAAGATCCAGGTAAGAGAGAACGATACCAGTAAGCTCTGGAGGTAATTCAAGAAACCTGGCGTGTGGAATAGCCATTTGAAGAGCTTTGATTGAATCCAACTAAACGCAAAGGGCTTGATGCATTTATTAGTAGGCTGCGCTTTTCAAATGCTAAATTTAGGATTTAGAGCGAGGCACTATATTTAGAAGTGTTTGCCTTGTTCCAAGAACTGGAATGCTTCATAAATAGAATTAACGTCCAGCATTCGCCTCGTTCATCTACCATGTATCATCAACGTACCGCTCGGTTTCCAGATTTTCCTGTCTACTCATATTCAAGAAATCTATGCCCAGCAGAAGAATGGGCAATCAATCGCTTTGAGGTACATATGCAGCAATGCCTGGTATGCACGCGAAGTCTTCAAAGCACGTGTCGTTATGGCTACAATGCTATCTGGGATGTCGTCAGACTTGTTCATGAGAAACCGGACGGAAATTTCTACAGCAACTTCAAAGAGAACGGAAGACCCGTACGAATCGAAATACCTTTGGGTTATGTTGCGACACGTCAACTGCTTCAAAGACCATCCAGAGGGGCGACATTTGAGAGACATCGAAGGCGTCCAATTCCCTATAGGATAGTAGAAGTAGTTGGGCGGATCAATGATCGACGAACCCCTGATAATATTGAATTATAGAATAAAGTATCTCCCTACTCGAAAACACACTTAGAGTGGAAAAATTCTGTGTGCTCCCCCTTCTCTATTTGTACTCTCATCTGGAAATGAGGCTCACGGCTCTCGGTGTCTTGAGAACTGCTCAAAGGAAGGTGCCTGTTGCCGTGGTCGTGCCAAGATATATGAAAAATATCGCGCGGCAGGTCTTTACCAGTTGCATCGCTGTGAGAGAAGATAAAGGTATGCTCGTTGCCTATGAATCGGTACTCAGCTTCACATAATACCATGCTTTCTCGCACGAACCCTCGTTTTTCCCACTTCCGATTGCCACCTCGTTCAAGAGGAAGCCGACGCGACTGGTTCGCGTGTCTGTTTGGATAGAGCATTCTATTCGCACGTCTTAGGGTTACCGCGGGCATAAGATGCACAATCTTAGTACCGGTGAGAAAGCATTGATTGCATGTGGTGTTCGATCTAAGCAATGTACCACATGGATGAATGCCGCTGTTGTATGATGACCATTCCCGTGCCTTGATTCGTACTAATATGCCTATTCAACGAGTTGATACAGGTATAGTACCGCTGTGCATCAGCCCTGTCAGAGATATCTTGAGTGGTCCTGGTCTTCGGATTGTAATATATACGTCGCGGATCGTTGTAGATCGTGTTGTCGTAGTCCGTGGGAAGAATATTGTGGTTAAATATAGGATGGTCATCCTCCTTACGGACACGAAGATATGCCCGAAGACGCACAGCGTCGCCATAGCCGATAATAACGCTGTCCAGGCTGGTATCCAGCATTGCACAAGCTAGCTTTTTCGCTGGGTCATTAAATATGACCCCGCCCTTCTCTAGTAAATACCTCTATCATGGCTCTAAGACTAGCATCGTTGCACTCCACATAGAAATCCCAACCCGAACATGGCTCGCAGGATCCAGGCACAATAACGTCGAGGGCACGGGACCCCAATATTACACATCTGCTGGAATCCATGGTAGAGAGAATATCGCCGGCAGTGGTGAAATAATGAGATATTTCGAGTTTGACATTAAGCATATCCTGGACCACGTTTTCCGCAAAGATGTTTCCCATTTCATTAAGTGTAGAAGCCGCCTCGGTCGGGGAGACATATTTCATGATGTGATCGAGAAGTTCCTGTGGCATAGTTTATAGAGACATTTTGCAAGTAACGCCGGTTTTGGAGGCGGGGTACGACAATTGAGGCTTTCTGGCGCAGATGCAAGTGGGAGAGGGCGCTGAAGCAATAGTCGGGAACTGCACTTTCAGCTTTGGAACATTCTATTCTTAGTCCTTGATCCTTAGAACGGTGTTCATTCTATAATTAGCCAGCATTACGAATACCACAGGAGCCACATTTAACTATTGTTAGGGCGTAAACTAGCAGGAAAAGGGGCTTGTATTGTGAGGGAGAGAAGCGGTGCGTAGGCAGGAGGCGTGATGGAGGTAACGGTTTGGGCCGCATCGGCTCTGAGACCACGTGATGTAAGGCACGTGCGTGCACGAGCCATTAAGTTTTCTTAACGTAACTAACTAACGTCCGTCCCTGGATTACGGAAAACCCACCGTGCCGGAAAATATAAGGGGTACATTGACTTTAAACAGCTTAGACTCTGTGCACACATCGAGATTTCCCACAATTCTATATAAATAGTGTACTGTAGCCACTCCTGAACGTTTAGAACACCTCCTACCTAAAAATTACATTCGCGTTGTTGCCTTCGCGCCTGATTTGCGGAGAGCCTTCTTTTATAGCGTAACCAAATTCTATTGCCACAGCACCTTTATCAATCTCCTATCACTCCTAATGCTCATAAAAGGGCCTTATCCGAGCCTTAGAACCTCGCTACTATACTGGTAAGTTGTTATCAGCCTTGTGGCTGCTTTCGCACGCAAATTCATGCAAGGTTGCTACCCTGGTCAGTACTTCCGGTCGGAAGCAATTACCAATCCAGGTAGGACAAAACGACCCCACATGTCTAACATAAGCATCGTGGTGTAATTTACTTATGTCATCCAGCAAGCCAAGCTTGTGGCTGTGAGCGTGTGGCTAATTGGGGCCTTAGTACCCCACCTTATATATCCAGTTAGGCACTATTGGCCTAGGCATGTGATCTATCACGGTACTTCTCTACCACAGCTTGAGCTAACGTGTGTGTGTGTGTGTGTGTGTGTTCTATTATGGCCATGCACCCTGTGGGTATGGGCCGTTACGATGCGCCAGCTATGTACATTCTGTTATCAGCCACCTGCTCCAGTTCAGAAGCCAACCATGAGACCTGCTGATCGTATATCTAACGCCATGCTCAACATAGGAAAGAAAGAAAAGTAATACGCTACCGTATGCTGTATGTAGTTGCAAGTTGATAGTGAGCCAAGTTGTTTTCTGGGGTCCCCCATCCGCAGGGCAGTTCCGGCGTCGTGCGCCTCTTAATCGGCAGCGCGCTGGCGGAGGCTCGTAGGTCGCGGCTCGCTGCCAACTAAGTCACGGTTCGTTATAGAGTAGGTGTAGGAATTCGTAGGCGCTGTCGCTCGTTGTTGTCTTCTTCCGTGCTTGCTGTCTCTTGGCTGACGGTCTGTAGACGTCCTGTGTCTATCGCGAACTGGATCGTGGCTCGCACCACCGCAATGTCTGGCTTCCATCGCTCTATCGGCCCGTCGATGCTCTCGCCCCCTTCTGTCCGGCTCGAATAGCCTCCAAGCGCGTACGAAAGGTCCGCAAATCGCTCTCCGTGCTGCAGCCGTAGCTGCCGTCTCTGCTCTTCCCACTTCCTGCAGCAAAAGAGAAAGTGCAGGATGGATTCAATCAGCCCGCACTCGCATTCCGCTGTCTCCGCTGCCTTGATCTTGTAGAGATATGTGTTGAGACTCGTCATGCCCGTCCGGAGCTGCGCAAGGATCGCAGCCTCACCGCTGTTCAGTTGCTGATACAGGGCTGCCGCCTTGCCCAGGTGGAGCGCCGCGTCGATCTTCCTCGTGAATTTGCCTACATCAGGTCGTCCGGCCAGAAGCGGTCCCGTTGTGACGTTAGCTTTCTTCAGCGCTTGCTTTACCAAATACCCCGGGCGACTTTCTCGCTGCGGCGCTTCCTCGCTCTCCCTTCTTGTTGCATTCCTGGCAAGCCCGTTGGCCCTTTCGTTGCCTTCGATCCCTGAGTGGCTGGGCACCCAGTACAGCGTGGTGTTGCTCATACGGAGCTTCTTAACGATCTCTGCTACCACCTCCTGGCACGCGCTTGCCCTCCAGCTCTGCACCGACAGCAGCGCCGACTGCGAGTCGGAGAAGATGCGTATGCTGGATGCTGGTACGGGGGACCCTGTTCGGTCGATGGCCATGCAAGACGGGCCCCATGGCCAGTTGGCTGCCTCGCTGATCGCCAGTAGTTCCGTCAGGTGTGCGTCCGCCTGGTCCCAGCTGGCCACCGTCCTTGAGATGGATGCCCCAGACGGCGTCGCGTATATGCCAATCCCAGCTCGCCCGTTCCGCACCGATGCGTCTACGAAGATGTCCACCTGTCCTGGCCTGTAGTCTTCGATGATGTTTCGCGCCTGTTCTTCGCCCTCGCAGACTACCACCTCGGGCCTGGCTACCCACGGCGGGCACGCATACGGCTTGACCTCCATCACATCGTCCATTCGGACCTCCTCGCACATCTCTGCCGTCCGCATCAGCGGCGACCGGTGCTTTGTGCAGAGCCGTTGTCGTTTGAGCATCCAATGCGGATGCGACTGGCCAAGCTTGTGGAGCGACACTTAGAACGCGATCGTCTGATTACGCAGTCTCTGCTCCATGGGGATCAGACCCGCTTCTACCTCTGCAATCGCGCCCGCGACCGTGCGGAAGGCTCTGATGACGGCTTGCGCCGTGATCCTCTGCGCCTGCATGAGGAGCTGCTTCATCTCGTGCGTCGCGATCGGGTACCACACGGGCGACGCATAGTCTGCCACCGGCAGCACCGCGCTCTTCGCCAGCTGCTTGACTGTCTTGAGTCGGAGTCCTTTCAGTCGGCGCAGCGCTAGCGCCGCCTTTGTTGCTTTGCCGGCCTTGTTCGCCAGGTGCGTCTTGAACCTGAGCTCCTTGTCGAGCGTCACTCCTTGTCGAGCGTCACTCCTAGGATTTTGACCTCGTTTGTCGGCAGGATCTCCTTCTCCTTGAATCGTAGCGCCACCGTGCTTTCCCTGGCCGCGCCTTTGTATCTGGTGAGATGGATGAAGGACGTCTTCTTTGCGTCGAATACGGCTCCACCGGTGCGCTCCCACTTCTCTAACAACGGCACTACCTCGTTTTGGATAATGCGCGTATTGCCATCCGCTGATGGGCCCATCACCCACGCCGAGTAGTCGTCGACAAAGGCCATCGAGCTGCCATTCTTAGATGCGCTCTGCACCAGGTCCGCGTTGAAAAAGAGGAACAGAATCGGGGCGAGCGCTGACCCTTGCGGAAGACCAGCCTGCGGGAGCGTCTGTACGTCGGATGTGTAGTTGTTGACGAGGATGCATGCCCGCCGGTCCGTGCAGAAGTCTTGCACCCACCGTACTATGGTTTCCGGGATCTGTCTTTGTCGTAATCTCCTAATTTCTGGTCCTGTCGCCACGTTGTTGTATGCCCCTTTGACATCGAACGACACCAGGGACAGCGTCTTCTTGCCTCTCCATGCCTTAAACACGTCCTCGCAGAGATACGAGAGTGCATGCGTCGTCGACCGCTGCTTCCTCGCTCCAAAGTGCGTCTTTGGCAGCAGCCCGTACTCTTCCACCAGGTACGCGATCCTCTCGGCCACCAGCGACTCCAGGGCCTTGCCCAGCGTCGGGAGGAGCGAGATGGGCCGGTAGTTGTTTGCGATCGTGTAGTCTCCCCTACTCGGCTTCTGCAGCGGTATGATCTTGGCAATTTTCCATTCGCGCGGCACCTTTCCCGTCTCGAGCGACTGAGCAAAGAGTTGCGTGATTTCGTCGCCTAGTACGGGCCAGAGCTCTCTCCATACCCGCGCTGGGAGGCCGTCTCTTCCCGGCGCCTTGTCTGGACTCGCCCTGAACACCGCATTCTTGACCTCGTCCTTCGCAATCGGCTCCCACGGCAGCTGGCTGTATCCACTCGGCGCGTCTTCTGGTTCGCACGGCGGCGGGGGCGGAAAGAATGCCCGCAGTAGCTCTTCTGCGATGTCCTGGTTTTCTGTAACAAGTTCGTCTTCTGCTCCCGCCTTCTTGATCGGAGGAACTCGGGCGAACGAAGCTGTCGTCTTTGTGTCTAGATACTTGGCCGCCTTCCATATATTGTCGCTGTTGTCAAGGAACTCCTCCCAATGTTGCTTCCGGTGCCGCCGGATGGTCCGGTGGAAGAGCCTCTTCCCCCCCATCGCCGTATTCCGCAGCTCCTCATCCACTCGCCCCTGCCGCCGCATCGCACACGCCCGGTTCCTCCAGTACGTGTACGACTTCCTCAGCGCCGTCAGATCTTCATTCCACCACCGTTTCATGTACGGTGATGGCCGAGCTCGCTCGCAATGTGTTTCGAGCGCCTTGTTTACCCACGCCGTCAGCCGGCCCGCCATCTCGTCTACGTCCCCAACCAGGAACCCTTGCTCCTTCTCTTGCTTCACCGCTGCCCTGATCTTGTCCCACGGCGCATTCTTGAGCAGCAGTCGCTCCTGCCTCTCCTCCCGGTCCACGTCCACGCTGAAGCGGGTCTGGATAGCCCGGTGGTCCGATCCGTACTCGTGCTCCCAGAGGGAGCACTTGACCAGATCTTCTGCCAGCCCCGTTGTCGCCAGCATGAGGTCGATCGTTGATTTCCCTCTTACGCATTCGTATGTAATCGTTCCTGCGGGAAGGAGGCTCTGCAGCGAGAGCTCCGCCATAAAGTCGATAATTGGCTCGCTCTCGTCTTGCCTCGGCTCGTTGCCGACGCTGCTTCCTCCCCATAGCGGGTTGTGTCGGTTGAAGTCGCCTGCGACTACTACCTCCGTATGTGGATCGCGCAGCTGCTCTTGCTGCACTACCTCTTTGATTATGTCCAGCCTGCTGGTGAGCGCCTCCCAGCTCTCATCCTTTGTCCTCATTGATTGAGGTCCGGAATGTATACCGATACCACCACCAGCTTCCTTCCTCCCACGTGCGCTACCACTGCCGTGATGTCTGCCGAGTCCACGTGCACCTGCGTCGTCGCCACGTCTCTCGACACCCAGATGCACGAACGGACTGGGTTCTGGCCTGGTCGCCTGCCAAACGGTACAAACGTCGTCCAGTGCGGGTTTGTGCCGTGCAGCACCACCTCTCCGTCTGCAAGAAAGCACCCGGGCTCCTGGCCTAGGATGAAATGAAAGTCGGCCAGTGCCGGGTCGTTGTGGAGCGCGTGCTGCGACTCCCTGCCTCTCCACATGTTCGCCTGGAGGATACGAAGCTCCTTATTCATGACGTTGGCGTGCAGCAATCCTGTCTCTCTCTTTCTCGTACTCGGGGCACTTGCGGTTGGACGCCCGGTGCGGGCCTTGGCAGTTCACGCAGCGCAGGTTGACCATCTCGCACTGCGCGTGTCCTTCCTGTGCGCACATGTCGCACGTCACTGGTCGTCTGCAGTCCCTCGCTCTGTGACCGATCCTCCTGCAGTTGAAGCACTGCACTGGCGTGCGTCGCTCTTCGAACCGCGAGATGATGATCCCGCCTCCGCCGAATGTCACGCTGTCCGAGTGCAGCAGCTTCTCTGCCTCCTCCTTCGTCGCCACCTTAATCACTACTGAAGCATGCTGTCCCCTGGGCCTCGGCTTTCCGAGCCACCGCATCGTGCACACCTCCACTCCGTTCTCTATGCCGAAGCGCTCCATCGCCGACTTGCTTACTTTCCCGCTCTCGGCGTCCATCGCCAGCGTCACCTCGATGAAGTCCGCCTTGACTGGATACCACTTGGGGCCCACCAGTCTCGCTCCAGGGATCTGCGGGTCCAGCCACTCGGCCGTCGTCTGCCGGAATGCCGCCTCCTTGTCTTTGTCCACGGAGAACTTAATCACACTCGCGCTGTCGTTCGCTCGCCACACCCGGAAGTCCTTGACTGTTGCTCCAGCAAGCCGTTCCACGCTGTTCATCCCCTGCTGAATGGTCTGTCTTGCCGTTTCCGTGGTCGCTACTTTGTCAACTATATCTTCTCTCGCCCTGCTAACATCGATCACCATCTGTCTACTGTCTTCCCTACGCGTTATTCCCGAGTTCGTCGATCGCGTCAAAGCCATGCCTGGTCCGGCCGGCCGGCCGCTGGCAGCAACATCTGCCCATGTTGGTGTTGACTGTGGTTCAATTGAGGGGGTATCGAGCTGCGCTCGGAGCTGTTGAATGGTCACTTGCAGTTCAGCGTTCTGGTCCTTAAGGTTCTGTTGTTCTGCTCTAACAGCCGCGAGGTCCGCTCGAATGCTCTCGATGGTGCTGGTCTGGCTCTCGATGGTGCTGGTATGGCTCGCGATGATATTGCTCAGCTGTACTATGGTCTCTTTCAGGCCTGTAATGAGCTGTATCACGTCATCTCTCCTGGCGCTTCTTCCTCCCTGTTCGGGAGAGATGGACTCCTCCCGGGTGGGGAAGGGCGGTAACCCATCGTCTGCCCATTGATGCGTGCTCGAGGGTTCTTCAGCACGTGGCTGCGACGCTGTGGCTCTGGTTCTGGCCTGCCTAAGCTGGGCTGCTGTTGTCTGCGTCCTTAGTGCCTGCTGCGTCTCTAGCACCTTCGCGCTCGGCTTCCTCGCGCGTGCTCTGGGAGCTGCCGGGGGCGGTGTCGATGGGATGCGGTTAGGGGTTGAGGTCGCCATCGGGGGTCCGGCACGATGTTCGGAAGGCCGCACGGGCCGCCTTACAGCGGGAACTAGTGAAGCGAGTCGCTAGGATTCGATATAAAGAATGTCCGAGATAAGTATCCTCCTCTTTCAACAATTCCCTCAGTTTGCTTGAGCTAGCTTGAGCTAACAAGAGTGTGGCCGGTGCGGGTCGGCCGCCCTCCCTGTATGTGGTGGCGAGATCTAATAGCAAATTCCTCTCGGCACTGTCAAGTATTACTAGTCAGCATATAGCTATAATGCTGCCTGCCAAGACCCTAGGACCCTCTCAGATACGAGTCGGGAAGGATGATTGAATCTGTAGGCCCTCTGTTTCACTTGAACCACATGCTCTAGCAGCTTGATTGCCTTCTTAATCTGTCCGTTCGCTTGGTATGCTCCAGCAAGCTCGTGCTGCGACGCTAGTCG